ATGTTAGAATATTCATAACATGAAAAGACTGGAGGTCACTGTAATCTTTTATGCACTATGCAAAGATTTAAATAGTGGTATAACAGTGCTATTTCAGGGTCACGTTACCATTCGTCATCGTTATTAAAAAAAAAAAAAGAGTTTGAATCTCGTCTATAATGAATATATCGCAGTCATGAATTACGACGTAACATTGAATAGCAATAATAACGATCTGTTGTTGTCTGTTACTCCGTTTTTCATTCAAAAATTCAAGAAAAAAATTTTCATTTGATTCGGTTTAAAAGCTTAAAATAAAAAACAGTAAAAAAGAAAATAAATATCAATTTACAAATTCAAAAAAAAAAAAAAACTCACAAAACTTTCAAAAATATAAATTCTCTCAAATTCAATTTCAATCAAGATCAAAGATATATAGTTTAAGGTAAGTAATTAATGCAGCACTCAAATTATTTTTATTTTTTAATTTTCAAATTTATTGTGATTTTGTGTGTTTAGAATTGGATTGAGCTACGGTGCATTGGTAGAAAGGGACAGGAGTTGCTGAAACTTAAAATGAAATACAAGAGATGAAAGTGAGACTTGAGGTTGATGGAAACGAGTAAATAGCACACACATAAAACAAAAAAAAAAGAGAACTGAGAGATGGGAATGACGATGAAGGTTTAGAAAAAAAAATATTTAATGCAAGGTGAGGGGATGAAAAGTTCTGTATGTTTGTGCAATTTAATCAAAAGGCAGAAGGCTGTCAAGTTTGATTTATTGTAAGCTCATAAAAAGCAATTCTCTTGGCCTATAAATAGTAATGCTCTTATTTAATTTATGGATGTTTAATCACTTATTATTTGATTTATGCATAATATAATTTAATAATAATTTGATAAGCAGGTAATTAAATAATTAAATATATCATTCGTTATGATTATTTATTTTTCACATGTTTATTTATTTCTTATTATTTTTTAATTATCATATGAATAATTTTTTAAATATAAATATTTTACGATAAATATTTTTTTAAATAAATAAAACACATGATATGATATAAATTACTTTAAAAATCATAAAATAAGAGGTTTTATGATTAATAATTAAAATTATTATATTTTATAGCAAGTTGAACAAAATTTAAAAAAATTTATGACCGCGATAGCCGTAATGATCACGAAAAATCTCCGTTATATCCGCAATCGTGACAAACACGACATGACTGAAAATATGACTACTACCATTTGAATCCCTGGCATTATGGTCCACGGTGAACATTTACATTAAAGTTAGAATTTGTTCAGTGGTTGTTTAGATTCTGTCCTGCGAATAGTTCATCCTGCAAAACCTGCTGCACTCGCCCATCTGTATAATCTGGTTCCTTCCTGTTGTATTATACTTCTATTTTGAGTTAAAGTCTCTATCATGAATGCCATTGGGATTTTCTTCATTTGTGCAATATCTTTTCCAGATTGACTATGCTGATCGGAATTAATGTGTTCTTATATATTTCTTAAGATTAGATGTATTCTGAAAGCTAATCTCATGTGGTTTGATTTCAGCAAGTGGGTGATGATGAACCAGTACACTAGGAGGCTACAGAAAGTTAGTGATGATGTCAAGGAAGAAACATTTAGTCCACTTTCCACGAAAACCTCGGTAGGTGCTTTTCCTTACCTGGAGGCTAAATTATAGCATTTTTAATTTCTTTAATTACCTAATTTAATGTGATGCTGAATAAGGATGACATGATTATTCTCCATTAAGTAACTTCCTTGTGTTATTCGATCCAATTTCTGAATTGCTAATGCCCAATGCTATATCAAAGTTGTGACTTAAGTTGGATGCCTGATAGAATAAGTGCCTAACATCAACTGAGTTGTAAAAAATTGCAACAATTCCCGTAGGATTTTCGAGGCTTGAAAATATGTGTTTGTCTAGCCTGAAAGGCTCAAAAACGATTTAAGAGAGGCCAATTTAAGAATTTTTATTAATGAATCTCTCCTTTTACATATAAAAAATGTGATTGAAGATTCTTGGAAATGGGTTATTTGGAGTACAGTTCTAAACAGTTTTTTAAGGTCAGGTCAGTGACACTAGAAATTGCTCAATGATTTCAACTGTTAAATTTGATGTCAGTCTGTTAATGTGGTTTGCCAAGAAGAGATTAGGAACATTTTGGTAAACATGAAGACAGTCCGTTGTAATTGCATATTAGAACTTTTGAATTTATTTGCTTTGAATGCCCCACTTCGTGATCAAAGTTGACTGAAGCTGGATAGGGTACTCAATAGTATAAATGCCTCATGTCAACTGACTCATCGGAATTTGAAATTAATCTTTTAAGATGGTGGACTAAATGTTCAAGTTATTGGAAACTTTAGATCGGGATTTTTTGTTGTATGAAACGTTGTGAAAATGCTGAAGACAGTACAATCTCCAGCTTACAGGATAAAATTTTCAACTCGTTTATCAGTATGTTAGTATAGCTGACTTCATAAGTTCAAGTTACATTTTCACTGTTCTCATTTATGCTATTTGTTTCAAGGGATATATTGTTTCTTATTTAATTGATCCTCTTTTGGCATTTACAGATTAGCATTTCCAGAGGAGAACAATAAAAGTTTGAAGAAAATTGGCAAATTAGAAGATCCTGTTCAGTTTTCCAAGCTAGGGCTTATGGTAAGAATATCTGATTTATCTAAGCAATAATCAAATTGTATATTCTTTCAAATTATTAGTGTGCTTTCAAAATTTGCAGCCAAGAGTAGCTGATCTGGACATGAACCATCATGTCAATAATGTCACCTACATTGGATGGGTTCTGAAGGTCAGTAGAGAGGACATCCTAAAATTCTTTTTTTTCTGTAGACTTTCAATGTCCAAAAGTGGTTGGTTTACCCGTTCCAGTTGATATTATAAGCTAACAAATATGCATGTCTGTTTGGCAGAGCATGCCTCGAGAGATCATTGACACCAACGAAGTGCAAACTATAACGTTGGATTACAGGCGGGAATGCCTACAGGATGATGAGGTTGATTCGCTTACCGGTCCAGAACCAGTGGAGGGTACTGAAACAGTATCAGAGCTTCATGGAACAAATGGGTCTGCAGCTACAAGAGAAGACAATGAGCACTGCCCTCAGTTTTTGCATCTCTTGAGATTGTCTAGTGATGGACAGGAAATGAATCGAGCTCGTACTGAATAGAGAAAGAAACCTGCGAGATGAGTAAATTAGTTTTACTAAACTTTTCCTCAATTTTCAGCTTCACGTCTTTGATTTTTGGGTGTTTCTATTTTCTTATTCACTCCCAAAGGATTTTGCTTCAAACTCAGTAGTTGTAGGGTGTGTATTGTGGCGTGGAGCTTGAATTAGGTATAGCAATAGAAAATTGCTATAAACATTTATCATTGATGCACCCACTACTTCCACTTTTAGTTTGTTTTTCTTCAGCAATGGTTCATGACTAGGTAACCTAATAAATAAGATTTGAAATTTCGATTTATGAATCTTTTACTTTAAAACAGATTTGTAAAGTGTATAGATCATTTTTCAGCAATCCCCCGTAGAAAACCGACGAAGGCAAATAAAGCACGTTGCATCCACATCCAAATGTATTAGAGACTCAAGTCTAATGAGGTAGCCCATCATCGGAGATGAACATTTCTTTTACAAGTAGAAAAAAGGGCAATAATTTTTTTTAAAACAAGGAAAACCTACAAAATAATGGTCTATCACTGATCAGTGATCACCATGCATCCTTGAACTATCAAAGTTACACTAACACACCATTAAAAAAGAACACACAAAACTAAACATCGCAATCCCATACATTCCGACAACCGAGATCAGTCCATGAAAATAACCAAACTACCAAAATTAACTGATCTCATATCAGAGCTAAAGCTCAAGCTAAAAGCAATCCTTAATAGAGACACACATGATACATGACTAACTAAGCCCTATTTGCAGCTACTTTTTAACGTGTTGAATCAGCATAGGCAGGGTAGATTACGAAAATTGTATTCATTCAAGATGTTGGTGGTGCCAACATCTGATCCAATATGTTATAGTTGCAAAATTTCTAGTGATGTCCTCAATATTATTACTCTTTTAGAGCTATTAACAATATCCATCGTCTGGGTAACTTTCTTTTGCCTCCTCCAACATAGCTTGAAAGATTTCACACTGTATATTGTTTGAAAGCTTGCAACCCTCTGCCAGAAAAAGAGTTTTTGAGACCGAAAGGAAAAAACCCAAGTAAATGAACTGGAAACTCAAATCATATGGACAGAGCACTGGCACTTCTTCCACAAGATCAAACCATCATTAAGGTTGAGGAAAGAAATTACAACCATGATAATCTTCAATGTTTCCCCCTTCTTCCATCACAGACCTTCAGACTTGGACACATTAAAATCAAATGCATACTACTAATGCTAATTGACTTAATTCATTGTTGAAAACTTTCAAGTAGCAGATTTTCTGATTTTAAATCATTGTTGAAAAACAAGCAAAAATCAGGAATAAACCCCATAAATTAAAACAAAAAAGCTAACGAAGAACATAGTAAACGATGTATAGAATCAAAGTCCACCAAAAAAAATAGCCAAAATTATATGCTTGATGACGTGGCACTGAACGTCGACGTCCCAGCCGTCGTGAAAGTTATTCCCCCTGACCAAATCCCCTATATTGATGTGGCCGAGCTTGGTGGCCTCCGCAAGAGCAGAAGACGTCGTCGTTTTGCCGGTTCCAGCCGTGCCCCTCAGCAAAAATCTTCGGCCTCTTCCGCTTGTTGCTGTCTGGAGCGGAGTTTTTAAGGGCAATTCGGTTATTCCACGTTTTCAGCTTTTCATGTATTTCGAATTCGGCCATCGAAGGCTGATGGCTCATATAGGTTGCATTTATTTTTAAAGGATGACAGCAAGATTTTCCGTCTTTAAACAAACCAATCCTCCATGTGAATTGAGAAAAGCATTAATTTCTTCTTGGATAGATTTTATTTTACTTTACAGGCATACACATATTTTAGCATGCACGAAGGCAACCGCTGGGAAATGTGAGTGAGGTTGACAGACATTCAACCGCTTCATCTTCACTTCCAAACAGTAATTTACGAATTTTAGACATTAGGAGGCTCCATGTAAAGAGAAATGCTTAATCCAAAAGCAAATCCCATTTACTACAATTTAATCTTGGGGGACCATATCCATCAATGAAGATGCTTAAAATTTTCATATGCGACAATCACAACAGCCTAAGACGTACACATTTAATAGCAAATCATGGGTCCCGTAGCGTTGATTAGCAGTTTAGCATCATCACCTGCCATGGCCAATGGGTAATAATTATTTGAAGGTTTCTAAAATAACCAAGTTCTCCATTGCATAATGCAGTAATTATACCCCGCAAATCAAGTAAAAGAACATCAGAATTGCAATATAAAACGGGGTTCCATGCAAAAGATTGAAAGACAGAAGCAATAGTCGGTACGGAGAAGAAAATCGCCAAGGCAACATTCTTTCTTCTCTTTCTTATGCCCACTCTTCTGCTGAAGGAGGGAGGGAAATGCCAGCCAGAGACGAAGTTTAGAGTCCCCAGAGTCTCCTTGGTCCTTGGGGTCTTCATTTATTTGGTTGGCCACTTCCCCTGTTCAAGCCGCCTTGGCTTGGAGGGTGCTGCGGAGGTCTATCACCATTCCATGGAGCACATAAAGCTGGGAAACCACTGAATAAGGCCAATGGACAGCGAACAGAAGTGACTAAAGGTGATGGCAATGCCATCGACCCATTCCCGTGACCGCAGAGAGAACTTGTCGTCGCGGTGTTAATTAAAAGTGTTGAGTAGGGGGAACACTCCTTATAGTTTATTGAACCTAATGGATATCCGACTCTTAGTGCCTTCGCACTTTGAATAAATGAAAGCTCACAAGCTTCTCACGTTGTTTGCCTTGTAATCATCTCTCGTCAATTTTGAGGCAAAGCAGGTTCTATAAATACGTAAGCATCCAAACAATTAAAAAAGTTATCTAGATACGTATAATAATAATAGATTTAAAACAAATTGCCCTCCATGTTCATCAAAAAATTAAAGTTACCAAAGTTGATTCAGCCTACCTCAAGCCTAAGGCTGATAATTGCCTGTTTTTAAAACTGGAATAGGGTCATGTCAAGCGTAGGATTTAGGACTGCAGTCCGACAAAGGATACTTAGGCTACGACCTTTCAATCCGACCCAACTTGCCTAACGTTATTCACCTTTTCCAGCAAAAACAGGCAGACGACCGAAACCAATCAGTTCGTGAACCTCAGCATAAGGTGCAGTTAAAGGGACCAAACACAGGTAACCTAAATCATTTGACTTTAATTTCTTTTACTGTACATAAATAAGTGGTCAAGTCCCAAGTTTAATTCAGATAACAATGAAGCTGAGCTGACCCAGTTATCAACAGGGAGATATGCATACATATAAGAAAGCAAATAAAGCCTGCTGAGATAACTAATAAAAAAGATTGTCTACTAAAACATTGTTTAAAACTGCACGTCAGAAATGCCAAATTTCAAAAAATAACTCCACTGATACCCCAAATCCATTGCATCTTTCTCTTCTCATAGGCAGTTTGTATTAGCCCTGAAATAAAAAAAGAAGAATCATCACCAGAACATAATTTAAAAGAATACATAATAGCATTCTAATAGCTGCCACATCTCAACAATATTGAAAGAACATCCTCAAGCCCCCATACCACTATAGTGAACAAAATGCTTTAGAAAAATAGACGGGTAACATATCAGACATAGATTTAGATAAAACTCATCCATGAAAATACAGCATCCAAGCACATGAGGCAGATATGCACATCTTCCACAATGAATATTCACAGTATAAATATTATTCACTTTCAACACCTATTACTTCATATTCTTTCCGTAATAGAAATTAACCTTAAAAAAAAAAAGATACAGAATAATAAACTTACGTTACTAGTCAAGTATGAAGCTCATATTCAACTGGCAGATGGAAGGAAGACCCTAATTAGTTCCTTCACAGTGACTCTTTTCCTGCAAGTTGGGCATTTCCCCTGGGCAGCTATTGCAGCTTTAATGCATGCCTTGCAGAAAATGTGCCCACACCTAGTTGACATCTCCTCGGCTAATGAACCCATGCAAATTGGACAATTGAAGGTTGGCTCCTTTGGAGGTGGCTGCGGCTTTCTAATTTCCTCAACCTGCCAATAAAATAGTTCATGAGTCTTAAATATGAAATAAAAAGAGGTGCACCTACATGAGAGCATGTGCATGGACAAAAATAAAAAGAGATCTCCAATCAGAATATCTTAGATCTAATGACTAGCCAAATATGTAAAATATTTCCTTGAAAATATTTTACATTACATCTTTTGAATAAATCACTAAGAAAGAGCTCTTACTGTAGACTGTGGCATGCTTTCCAAATTGATATAATGATCACAATTGATAACTGTTGGGCTTGGAGGGAGTCTTCTGTGCCTGTTCTGATTATTATTAGTTGACCTGACCGGCTGTCCTGGAAGGAGAGAGATGTGAGCTACACCAACTTCAGACACCAAGTAACCTAGGGTTCAACTACAAAGAATAAATGAAGTAAATAAAAAACCACCAGTCTCTAAATTGGTTGACCTATGCAGTCACACAAATAACATAAGATTGGACAGCACCAGAGAGTTGCCAAGCAATAACATCACCTCAGTTGAGGTCAAGATTTGCTTTACTCTTGTGCTTGAGCCATTGACAACCAATAAACCCCACTTCACAAGCCACAGGCCTTGAATTAAAAACCAGAGAATTGTGTATGTAACACAATCCCCTCAACAAACTAGTAGACTATAGAGTTATCAAATATTAGTAGACAATAAGAGTTTACTGCTCAGTGTGCACTTAATATAAAGCAACCACACCAAATAGATATTCTAAGAAAATATGGAGACATCATAAAGCAAATTAAAATTACTAAATGTACCTCCAGTTTTATTTCCATTTTAGTGAAACTCTCAAAAGTACATAAAGAAATATTTGATCCATCAGCTTCTTTTAATCATGTTCCAAGGCACAGAATGTCACCAAGATTTTCACTTGGATTATATACTGGAGTGTGATTGTTTTGTCTCTAATTTGTCCCTTTCAGAAAATTCATCTGCAGACAATACATCCAGGTTCCTTCGCTACTCTTGTCAATCATTTGATATTTATCAAATATGAAAAGAAAAATGAACTATAATTCCTTAAAATTCAACAATTTAAGGGGTAGGCTAAATTGTCCTAAGGACCCTGAACCTCACAAAATAATTAAGAACGTAAATCAAGACAGGGATCATAATTTACAGGACATCTACCTTCAGATCCTTAAGTTAATGAGGCCTCAACAATGCAATTAACAACGAATCTTTTCACCTCATTAAGATAAATAGAATGAATTTACAAGCTAGTGCATCAGAATAAGCTTCTGTTATGCAACAAGCATATGACAATGCAGGTAGCACATGGTAGAAAAGATAGTTCTATAAACATCCTTCCCTCATAAATTTAACTACCTGAATCTACATCAACAACTGTCCTTCCATGGCTCCTCCTTGAATTGTTTTTAGCCTGACATAAAGTCCCAAGAAAAAAAGTAACAGTCATCGTGATGCAAATGAATCCAAAAAAACAGATTTCACGTATAGTTAAAGTGAAAACAAAAAATTATTGAACAAGAAAAGCATACCTCTGCAAATGCTCTCGCAGAAGATTCAATTACATCATCATCAATAGCCTCAACATCAATAGCAGCAGGTGGTGCAAACTGTATGGGCTGGCTAGTAACTTCCTCAGACCCAGCATGTTGTGAAGTACCCTCCTGTTCCCTGATTTCACTAGGAGGAACATTTAGGTCCAGCATTGCCTTCCTCCGTCGATACCCTCTAAGAGAAGGCCCCCGCACTTCAAGAGTGCTCATGCTCTGCTTATGATTTTTCTATGCACTATCCAAATCTTGCAGCCTCAAAAAAACCTAAAAGACACTCAAAAATCAACTTCCGCAGCCATGTTTACCTTAAATGCAATATCAAGTTTTCAATAAAAGCAATCAATTCTTTTACTTGATTTGAGTGCTAAAATATTTAATTGATTTCATGAGAAAAATAACAGAGGAAGTCTAAGAAACTAGCTAATTACATTTACACATAAAAAGTTCAATCTGGATAGCAACATCGCCCAAGCAAACAAGCCTCGTGATTTAGAAATTAAAAAAAAAAAAGTCCAGAAAATGCACAGACAGACACTTCATTGCTTTTTTTTTAATTAAAAAAAGGTGAAAGAGAAACATAGGAATAGTATTAACCATAAAATTTTAGCATATAAAAAGACCTTTTGCACAAACTTTGCTTCCTTCAAAGTCCAAATAGCAATAAAAGAGTTGAACTATTGATTGCCATATTTCCAGTTCGATTTTTTTTATCAAAAATTTTAACACGGGAAAATGAACAATTACTTAACATTGAATCATTGTTCTTAAAAGGGGCATAAATTGCATAAATTTAATCAAAATTCAAACTCGAACTGGTGGCAAGACAAAAATTCATTAACCGAGAATCGAATAAAAATTTTCAAATTTAAGGAGTTCAATCGAATTTCATTTAAAAATTCACATCATTCGAATAGACAAATGTAGCCCTAAAAAGTCCCCAAATCTTGAAAACGGAACATCAAACAGAACACTTCAATGAATCAAAAGGAATTAAAAACAAACTTTGAAGAGAGAGAGCGTGAGAGGTCGAAAATTGTACCATGAAATTCTGGCGAAATCGAATCACTTCAAGAATTCATGAAATTCGCCAAAAATCGGCAATCGAAGAAAGCAGCGAAACCGAGAAACCCTGTGAAAATTTTCCCTATCTAGGGTTTTTAAACAGAGGAAGATTTCCAAGTAAACGAGGCGAAGAAGGAAACTGCGAGGCACAAACGTTGAAATTGATAGTATTGTTACTCACGCGCGGTCGTTGTGAGCTCGACAGTCTCCACATGGCTTGATCTCTTTCCGTTCAAATACGTGTTACGTAATGGCTTGCATAAGCTTACAAATCTGTGATTACGCACGTTCACTTTTTTGAGACTGAAATTTTTTCTACGTCCTCTATGGCTGTGAAAGTAAAAAATTTGTAATAATTTATATACTTATTTATTTTGCTTAAAACTTTGGATTAGTTGTTAATACAAAAGAAAATCTTTGCGAAGTAATGAATTTATTAAATAAAATAAAAATAGTATCATGCAATATTAAAATTTTAAGAAAATAAGTAAAATTTATGAAATGAGATATTATGTTTTTTATATACCATTTAAATCGAATTTTTTTAAATGTTTTTATATGTCTTTTTACATGTATTAAAAGGATTATGAATTATTTAAAAAATAAATATACACTTGATAATACAAGTTTTTTGGTAATAATTTATATGGAATAAAATCTTCATTTTTGGCATTTGTTCCAAATTAAGTTTGAATTCAAATATTTCCGTCATAACAATCAAAAGTTAAAGCTTAAATTATTTGAATTTGCATCAAATGATAATTTAGAAATAAAAAATTAAATTCATAAAAATGAAAAAAAAAATTATTTTACGGTCGTGCAAAAATCTTGATACTGATAGATAAGTGCTAGTATTATTATCATAAGGGTATCGCAAACACACCAAAAAGCCCCTTTCCAGTTACCTAATTGTCACAATGTAACAATTCAACATTACTAAGAAATATAAACCAATAAGTCAATTACCTGACCAGAATTATCATATCATATGCATATGCAGTTCCCCTTCAACGGCCAATCTTCAATTGACCGGTTAATGATAAGAAACAAGAAAAAAAAAAAAAAAAAGGGAGATGAAGGAAGAAATTAACCATGTTGAGGTAGTGAAATTAGATTTTTATTTATGAATTATTTCAAACATGCTAAAAAGTTACTCAAAGTAATGAACAAATGTTTATCTTTTGACAATAACACAGCGAAGTTACAATTGCTGACATATTTAAAGGTTTACGTCAAAGCTTTTCAGTTAATCTGACCATGAAAGAATTAACAGCACCTGCATCCAACACAATCCATGAAGATTCAAAGAGCTCATGGAAGAATTCGGCTCCAGTTTCCTCAGCGGCATTCCTGAACGCAATACCAAACGCATTCCCCTGAAATGCTCCAAGGCGAGGCTTTCCACAGACCCCAACAATCAACACCTTAGCTGACTCTTGCCATATGCAGGCACAAAGCAAAGGCTTCAGCCTAGCTCCTTTCTCCTTCAGGGCATCCATTAGAAAGTAGCAGAACTTAGTCAAAGCCTGGGGTTGACCCAACAGCTTTGTATCTACTGAATCGTCAAGCTTCACCCACCTAAACTTTCTCCCACTCCTGATACAGCCACTCTTTGTTATTGCAGCACTTCCTTGCCTAAGAATAGCCCTTTGTATCTTGATTGCTTGTTGCATTCCAGCTTTCAGCTTATCAAGATTGCTTAGGGACAGTGCATCATATGCCACCCCAAACTGCTTCGAAGCACAAGAGCCATCTGATTGCACAAATGATTCAAGCAGTGCAGTAACTCCATATACCATGTCTGCAGCTGAGACCTTTGAAGTATAACCATGAAGACGCAAGAAACTTTTGTAGTAGAAATCATTAAGCCCATATTCAGGCAAAATTTGTTCAAATTGATCTTTCATCTTCTGTTTCACTTCGTTATTCATGTACTGAAACTTCTGCTGGCAATCCACAAGTGCAAACCCCATCCGTGCAAGAAGAAGCTTCAGTTTTTTCATTCCATTATCACTCCACGTCTTCAACTTAGGGGCAATGTATGAGGAACACAGCATTGAATCAAATAAATTCCACTCTCTTAACAACATAAGTCTTGGTTCTTCTTCATACGCAATTCTTGAGGAATCAGGTGCTCGAACCTTGGTCCCATCTTTAAGAGTCACCGAAGTAACTGCATCCAAATTCCCCAAACTGTTAATGTGCTGCTGAAGCTCCATAACCCCAGCTTCATACCTCTCATCTGTTAGCCTCTCATGAACAAACTGATCAGTAAGTGAAACACAAGCCAGCCAAAGCAACTCATTTGTGTTTTTCCTCAAAGAATGCGACAAATCATACATCAAATACCCCGACGGCTTACCATGGAAAGTTCCCATACGATAATAATCCCTTTTCAATTTCTTAAAACGCCGAGATGCTGGCTCCTCTTCACCTTCTGAAGAAATTCTTCTTCTTTTCCTAGACCCATCCCTATCCCCCCCTTCCTCGTCTTCATCCTCGTCCTCGCTTTCACTATCTTCATCTTCTTCACTATCCAACTCTGAATTATGTAAACAATAGCTAGCATTTGCCAACTCCATAACTTCAAAATCATACGCCAAATCAGCCAACCGCTCATCATCATTTGTATAAAGAACAACAACCTGATCATTCTGGTCACTCAAGTTGTGCAAATGAATCGGCCTATGACTATCAACAACAAAAACCCGCGCAGCAGGCCCTAACTTAAGATCCTTCTGGAGGTCACGGTGGCATCCCCAATTTATCAAAAGCATGGTAACAGGCTCCTCAGAGGAAGAACTCAAATCAGAACCAGCGTATTCTCGGATTTCTTGAAAAGAAGACACCGGATAACACGAGTACCGGACTGAATCAGATTCAAGAATGTGGAAAATGATTTTGAGAGCACAGAGAGAGTCCACATCAGAGGTTGAAGGGAATATGAGCAAAGGAGAGAGAGATGATGCCCTAACCGATTCCCTAAGCCTTGCGTAAAACGATTCTACTCTTTCCTCCCTCACCATGTTCTATTTTTTCCCTCTAAATTGGGTACTCAAATTAGATGGAAATTTGTAACTTTTCTTGGGTAAGTTAAAAAAAAAAATGGGGATTTTGGCAGAAAGCTTAAGACCCGGAAAGAAAATTCCCCTCTTCTCTTATTCCTTTTACTTCCTCTAAATTGGGTACTCAAATTCCATGGAAAATTGTAAACTTTCTTGGATAAGTTAAAAGAAAAAAAAAAACCTATGGATTTTGGGAGAAAGCTGAAGACCCAGAAAGAAAGTTCCCCTCTTTGCTTCTCTTTTACATAATTTGACTAGATTGCATCCGAAATCTAAGATCTAAAAGAAGCAGCTCATAGTATAGTTTGATACATATTAAGTTAAACAGGGTACAAAAACTCAAAGAATTGAGGAGGCAATCCCAAACATGCAAGGAAATGAAAACCAAGAAAAACAAATTACAAATTGATGATATAATATAATACAGAAGAACAATCCGAGAAAAGGAACAGTTCTCTTGAAAGATAACTGGAATAGAAGATTGTTTGTAAGTACCTGGGATTTGAAGAAGAAAAAGAATGGTGAAATTTCTCTGTACCCTTTTTTAAAATTTTCTTTTGAAAATCAGATAAGAAAAGAGAGAGACGGAGGGAGCTCTCTTTTGTTTTAGCTGTGATGTTTATTTGGTTTTCGAATTTTGGAGATTTCTTTGAAATTTGAATCGTTTTGAGCGACCGCGAAGTTTTGGCGCTCTTTAATTTGACTGACGCCGTCAGATTATTGGATTTTGTTTTTTAATCCTCTTGTTTGATTTAAGAATCAACGGTCAGGATTGAATTGCTTTCGCGTCGAAATAGTGATTAAAAAAATTTGAAAATAAAAAGAACAAGTGGGATAGCGGAACGTGTTGGAGTTCGGATTCTCTACAACTTATAACATTATAGACTTTAGATGACCGACTCAATGTTTGACTGGCGTTTTCTTTCACTTTAATTTAATGTATTATTACTGCCTGATCAAATGAACGTGATCAGTGGCAAACAGCCTTGGATTGTGGGATGAAACTTGAAACTGTTCTGAGCTGATAGTAACCAAGTTAAAGACTTCAACCACAGCCCTGGATGGCTTGAAAGGGCAAAAATGGACACGAAACATTCAGAATACAATAATAAAAGAATCTGCATCTGGTGTTCTCTAACCAAACATATTTGCAATGTAAAGTGGTATACCAAAAAAAAACATGTTTACCAAACAGAATAATATGTTTATCATCACAAAAAGGCACACATGTAGAGATAATAACCTCACTTCAGTGAAATTACTCTGCTTTAAAGGAGCCTCCAATGTATTTACAATATTCCACACAACTTGTAACAAATCCACAAATTCACAGGCCTCATTTCCTGCACCATGGAAGGCAGCAACTCTGGGGAGAAAGAAATGGAAGAAATATATAATTAGCAATTATATAAGATTTCGTAGAAACCACAGGCTAAGCAAACACAGTTCTTGCTGAGGTTCCCAAACAACATACCTTAGCACTGCTGTTATTTGGCTTTCGGTTCCGAACAGTGTTGTGTGGAGATTGTGCACCTGGCATGCCCGGTACCCTGACCCCGTTGTTCCTCTCTTCTCGCACCTTATTAAATATGTGAGTATAACCATCAGCTGATGCCGGGTTATTCTCATCCCAATCACCAAATTTTGGAACAGCAGCACCTTTATCAGGCTGTCACACCATAAACCAGATTATGAGCAATAAGTTCTAAGAAAATAACAAGCTTCAAGAATGTGACAAATTTTTACATTTGGATTAGTTTGTCTCAAGAGGAGTTATCACCTGGGGAAAGGGGCAAAGAGTAGATAAAAATGTAAAATTTCACACAATCAACCCCAATTCAAGCAAAACGGGCATAATACATTACCAATTTGATGCCTTATCAAGTGTTACAAAAAAATTTCTGGCTGGATGAGAACATAATCTAAGAGAAGGCTTTCTATGAGGCAAGCACCAAGTAGGTTGCCAATCATGAAGACTTCAAGTTGTTGATAAGATATGCATTAGGTTTGACTTTTTTTGGGAAGCAAAAGAAAACGAAAAAAGTAAGAGAATCATTAAGAAACAGGTAGTAAGGAGGAAATAGAAGGGCATTTTCAAAGCCCACCAGCAAGATCCACAATCACTTATTTTCAAGTTTATGTTATTTTTGACAGAATAAAATGACAGGAAAAAGGAAGAGAACTTACACTTTCATCGCCTCTAGCACTTGGCCTCATTCTGGATCTCCCAGGAGTGGCATGGCTACTATCGTATGAAGTCTTTCCTTCCCAGGCAGGTGATGCCATGCTACCTCTCCCTGCGACACGAGCCTGGTGATGGAGGGGTGATCTATCTATGCTATTTTCAGATCCGATACTTGGTCTTGTAGTTCGTTTTGGGGCTTCAGCAGAACTTACTTCACGGCCATAACGTGAAGGTGTAGAGTCCCCACTAGCTCTGCGGTTGACATTCTCATGACGTGCTGGAGAATCAGCATATTGTCTGAGTTCACCTTCTTCCCTGCTCCTTCCACGCTCATGGGCTCTTCTAGCAGGTTTATGTCCTACTGGTTCATCCAGTCCTGGTTTTGCTCTGGAAGCAGGAGGAGCTGCAGTTGGAGCATGTAAGTCTGGGTTCTCTTCGGGATCATTCGGATTTCCAATCTTTCCTCCACTGCGACCCTCACGGGCCTTATCAAAATAAACTGTGTAGGGAACGTTCTCTTCACTGTTCCAATTGCCAAACTTGGGTACATGAGACCGTTGCTGCAATGACAACAAAGGCCTGTTATTAGATAAAACACAAATAAATTTCTCCTCTGCTATTAATGAAGACAAAGACTAGGAGATCATAGATGGAGCAAAAATAATTCCAAGATCCTTGCACCTAAAGATGGCTCAAGATAGGAAAGTGAGAAGATTTTCCAGAGAGGTCAAATTTCAGGGTGAAACACTATACTTTATCACCTCAAAAGGAATAATACATGCAATAAATTTTAGACCTGACAATCTAAAACATAACATGATAATAAAACACAAAAAAGATACAAAAAAAAAAAAAAAAAACTCAAAAGTGACAGTTTAAAATTTTAACAAAAACCATATATGAGTTTAGCAAAATAAAAAATATATATATTTCATATTTTCGTACCGAGACAATTGTGATAAGCAAGTTTCGTCTAAAACACGACATGAATATATAAATTATCAATATTTTACATGACATGAATATATTAATTGTCAGGTTTGTAGTAATAGACGAAATATATCTTATTGACTTTTGAAGCAACATAAAGCCGAGTATGCATATAACTTAAAGTTCGTCAAGTATTACCTCTGGTTTCTGCGATAGCCATATTAATATCCCTTGAGCAAAATTCACGTTTGAAAGTGGCATCAATCTTACCAAAATGCACTCTATTGCTCAACAATTAATCCTATTCAGAAGGAAAATAAGCTAATACACTAAGCATTCTCTCTTCACACTGCTTAAAAGCTTGCCTCCATCAAATTGTTCAAAGTTGTTCCAACATTTTTAATATCAACCGAAGATGGAGGCTGGAAAGACAGTATTCTTGCTAGAAGTAAATCAGACAAAAAGGTTTTGCTAATTGCACGCACACCTTGACCGATTGTATTATAATTATTGTTTTTATTGTCTTCAATTAATTTCGAATCTAGCTAGTCCATCCTTTTCTTGGAACCTTAGGTTGAAAAAAATACAAGGCCAACCAATTCATCTTCCATTGGATGATTTATTTCAGAAGGGCTACAATGTCCAGGAAAAAACAAATGAGCTCTACAAAGAGTTACCATTCTAATATGAGCTTTTCAAAGAATGAAATTAGGGAATAGTCAAGCATGAGAAGAGATAATCTAACTATACTTCTTCTCATAGATGTACAACTGATATTCATATGGTTCCAAAAGATTTTTTGCTACAATAAAATTACAGAAGTCAGGGACACAAGAATATGAAAACAGAATATAGCTTAAAAACACCTGCGGATGATGCAGAAACTGCACATAAACTGAAATTTCTAACCCTAAACCCATCAGTACAATATTAATCTTTAATCAACACATGTCATTCAATAAGTAACTCACAGGAAACAACGGGCCTGCTCAAAGGGCATACATGATCAACATGATCCATTATACTAAAAAAAGTCTAATTTGAATTGTTCCTAGTATCAATTTATTTGTTTTCTATGTGCATCCACACCGTGAACACTTGGCAAAGGCAAACCCCTCTAGCAGTCAAGAGGAAACTTCAATTGTGAAATTTTCTCAATCCTTTTTATCCTATTTAACCCACATTATTGGATGCTTTAATTTTTGCATTATCAAATTAACGAGGGACAAATTTCTATAAGGCAATTTGATCCATAGTTGGGAAAGAATACAACATATGCCCAAATCAGAAAAACAAGCCAATCATGTGATATATATGTTCATCCTAAAATAAACCAATAAAGAGCCAAAAAAAATAGAAGCCCATAATCTCAACCATCCTAAGTTCATTTCTGTAAATCAATTACCTCAAAAAAAAAAAAAAGAAACAGAATTCACAATACAGAATCTCAATAGATCATATAAAACTGAATTAAAGTAATAAAAAGAAAACAAAATAGAGCTACAATCTTGCTTAGCTTAGGTTTATCTCTTTGGAAAAACAGAAAGTAACATAATAGAAAAGCAAAAAATTCCATAATTCTCATCTTTATTTTTGTCTTTTGCAATTTTCTCGGGAAACAAACAGAAGAATAATGTAAACTAAACTAAAAACAAAAACACCAACCGGTATAAAAAAAGATAAAGATGAAAACTTACTGCCATCTCTCTATCCAACAAACTTGAGAAAGAAACCCCAGAATCCCCAAAAGAACAAAGAAAAAAAAAAGCTTCTTTGATGTCAAACAATTACCTAGAAAAATTACAGCCTTTTTAAAGACCCTTTAAAAAAAAAAAAAGAGAAAGAGAGAAGAATAAGAGAGAGAGATGAAGGGAGGTTTAGTGAGAGAAAGAGAGAATTTAGAGGAAAAACATAAAAGAAGAAAGAGAGGGTAATCAACCATTGACCCTCGCCACCGGTAATTTTTGACCATTCTATCCTTCTCCCTTTCTCTCTTTGTTAATTTCTCTATTTCTTCTCAGTTTCAGATGTCTCCCTCAACCCAAGTCACCGTATGTTTCCGTATCTCGGATTTTTTTTTTTAATTTTTTCTAATAAAATTTCGTCGCAGGTTAATTCACTCCTTCCACACCAATGCATCATCGCCCCCATCGAGTGAAATGCTATCAGTTTGAATTGGAAATAGGAAATTTGGCGCTGGGGATAGCAGTCTTAAGATTCTGTTGGCTAAAATTTAACGCCGTTACAGTTAATGGCGGCTTACTTGTCATAAAAACTGACAGTTTGTCTTTCTCCAGGTTAATAATAAAATTTTTTTATTTTTTTCTGTTTGTCGGCTTCTGTTCAGACATTTCTGATGCCCTTCCAATTATTCCATCTTTTTAAAATATTAAGTTTTTTATATTTAAGGTTTTTATAATTTATATTTCTTCTTTAAAAATCTTAATGGTAAAAAAAAAACACGTGTTGTCCACTTCTAAAATTTGTTTTTATTAATATTCTTACTACTAAAAAAATTTTGATGGTTGGATTCGTAGATTATATTTGAATATCACAATTTGGTGGCTCTCCCAAAAGATTCCAAATGATTAAATTATTATCAATTTTAAATCAAAGATATAATAAAATATATATGCAATTATGCATATATTTTTTAATAGAATATTAAATTAATTAGTGGATTAAAAATTAATGCTTAAAACTTAATCTATTAATTAAATTTTTTATTATTTATTATTATAGTTTTTATCGATGAAGTACTGAAGTTATAATGGTAAATTAACTGTTAGTTGTAATTAATTAAAATTTTTAGAGACATTTTTAATCTTAATTAGAAATGCAATGCATATTTACCTTGTTTTTTCAACTCTATGTAAAACATAAATCTGTGAACTAATTTACACTAAAAAACAAATTATTTCTTTGTTTGAAAGCAACGAGCAGTGAAACTTTTCTTCATTTGATTAACTTTCTTTGATGATATAGACATTGGACGAATTATGAAAGTTAATTACTAAAAATAATTATTAAAATTAATTTAAACTTAAATTTAATTGATTTATATAATTATTTTTATTTAAGTAATTAAAATTTAAAATTTATAATATATTTTATTATTTTAAAATTATGATTTTTTTATATTAAAAAATAATGATCAAAATAACGATTATTTATTGGTAAACTTTTAGTTTCCTTTGGGTGAGACATTGAATAATGTCACTAAAATCTCGAATGATTTGAGTATCTAATCTATTGGGTTGTTTAAAGTGGCAAGACTGATCTTTTGTAAAGCAAACAATAATTAAGCTATTATTCATGTTCAATATATTTTATTAATTTGCATTAATGTCGCAAACTTTTTTGAGTGGGGTGGTGATGTGACCTGCCAACATGCACATGAGAGGACGAGAGGGTGCCAATGGTTCATCAAACTATGTTTTGAGTCATAATTGTTGAAGTAAATGCAAAACTAGTCAGTCCTTCAATTTCGGAGCTTTTTCCGATATTAAGGTAAAATAAAATTTTTATTCCCGAGTAAGGATATTTTTAATCTTATTTACTTAAATGAGATATTTTTACCTTATTGTCATTTTTATCTTATCCTATAGGTAAATCGTAAATCACAAAAAATATAAATGTAAATAATAAAAAATGATATAAAATAACAAAGTAAATTTGAGGAAAAAAAAAGCATAATTCACATAAACACATAAATACAACCTGGTCAGTCTGCATCAAAGATGGTATGCACAAGGCAACAGGTATGTCTCAAAATCAAGGTTTGTCTTCTTTTAAAACCTCAAGTCTTTTCCTAACGTACTGATACATTGTCTGTGAAGAAATGAGAACCAATGTCAGGGAAGAGATTAAAAAAAAAACTATTAGTTTAATGACAGATTCATGGCTATACTAACAAAATTTAAATCATTGTAAAAAAAAAAAAAACTATTAATTTAATGATATTGAAATCAATTTTAGGATTAAAGGCATAGAATTCAAACTCTAATCGTTAAAAAAATAAAAAAAAAAACCTTAGCCAACGCTTACTTGAATTGGGCTTGCACTTATACATCTGGCTTGCAGCTGCTGTGCTCCTACAGTGTCATTGGCCCAGTTGGCAATAACCCTTTGGGCTATGATAGACTTTGTTCTCGTTTCACAAAAGAAGAAAGAATGAAAGAAAACTGAAACTGACAGCAAAGATGGACAAAGTCCACTTGGATTCGAATGGCAATTGTGTAATTCCCTCCCAATGTCAAGCGTGAAGATAGGGAAACCTGCAGGCAAGAAGTTAGTCAGTTACTTTTTAAACTATTGAAAATCGGGCAAGTTTTCATTGTTTTCAGTTAAAGAAAAAAAAATTCATAGAAAGAACGCTTGATTTTAGCAATATACTTCTATATATATATATATTTATTTATTTATATATTTATTTCAATGATATGAGAAAAAGAAACTATCAATGTTCTTAATAAAATTCTTAAGTCATTTAGGATTTTTTTGGATGACTACAAAGATTGAGTCTAACGAAATTAAAAAAAAATGAAAATAAAATTAATTATTATAATATTAAAATTAAAATTAATTATGTGATATGTGTTTGGATTAAAAATTACATAAAAAAAACTGGCAGTTGCACTGAAATGATGTTTGAGTGATATCCAAATCCAGCTTTAAATAATGTTCTTAACAAAAATCTTTTAAAAGTTAGATTTTGTAAGTCTGAAAATTTTTAGGATTTCTAAAACTTTTACAAGTGGAAGGAGCTGAAAGGTAATTTAAGAAAATGTAATTAAATAAATTTATTTTAAAATAATTAGAAAAAAAAAACAAGTACCAAGAGCATTTGTGAAGTGCAAATATAAGTCCCCTTCCTAAAAAGCCCTGCTGTCAAAGTACAAATAGCCAGTCTGCACGTATTATCCATACTGTATGTAGTGTAGAACAGAAGAGTACAGCAACAGTTTCTTCCAATCTTCCGTTCACGTTCTTACAAGACAAAGGCAATAATCATTCCCACAACTAAACACTGCCTTACCATAATTTCTGCTTAGCCTAAACAAATGTCTTCTTTTCATGTCTGCTAATTGCTTTTTTGTACATCCGGTTTTTAAGTTTCTAACTTTTGATTAGTGCCCATTTTAATCCCCTTTTTGTTAATCGTTTTTTTTTGGCCAAAAAAGGGAGCTCATCAGCAGATCACACACCACTTATCACCAAGCTTTCAACCTTAGATTAGTTAACTCAACTCGTGAAAAGAAAAACGTAGTAGTAATAAGTTTCTTCAAAAGAGCTTCTTGCTTTCTATTTGGGCTAAATGTACAATGTACAATCTTTAGCCTTAAACCCTCATATTCCAAAGTTAAATCCCACTTCACTGAAGTGGGTTTTTTTGGAAAAAAAAACTAAGGGCCAGCAATCAAAAACATTCTGGGTAGTTTATTGCTGAATTTTTCATTTTTTCCCTTTTATCTGATGAAAATTGTTAGCCACTGAGTCAAAATTAAGTCTTTTTAAGAGTTGGGAGCTAGGATGATTCAGTTATTGTTTTTGGTTCTCTTTGCTGAGGGCGTTGTGGCATTCCTTCTATTGGTAAAGATTGGGCCTCTGAGAGAGCTCGCCATAAAGAGTTTAGATCAGTTGAAGATAGGGAAAGGTCCGGCTACTATGAAAACCATTGCTGGTACCATGTCTGTGATTCTTTTATCAAGTCTCATGAGCATTGTCAAGATCCAGAACAAGGGTGCAAAGCTTGGTACCATGTCTCCCATGGATCAGGTTCTCTGGAGAACCCACTTGCTTGAGGCTTCACTCATAGGTATGAATATGACTCCTTTTTATGGGTCATTTGGTTTGTGCATCTATATGTTACAGTTTCTTCTAAGTTTTAAATTATTGCCTTGTGTAAACTCTACAATTTTGCTTGGTATCAGCATTGTCATAGAGGGATGGAAAGTTCTATGTGACTAATAGTTCTAGTAGCTCCGGTACAGAGAAAATGGGTTTTGTTGGGTACTTTTGGTTTTAAGATTGTGCTTTTAATTTTTAAATATAAACCACTTTCAGTTAGTTGATGGCAAAAAAAAAAAAAAAACTCAGTTATGTATTGTATGAATTTCTCAAGTTTTAAATTGGTCTAACAAAATTTATTCACATTTTCTTTCTGGTGCTAAGATATAGTATTAGCTTCTCATAGGCAATCTTTTAATGTGATATTTGTCAATGGCACTTCGAGAAGAGTTGGTAGTCTTAACTCAACATTTTATGGGGATATTTTCAACTGCGGTTTCATGTTACGAGTTTATATAAGTTTGCTGCATCCTTAACTATTTTCTCCAGCCAGGCACCATGACTATATTAATGTGATAATAATTTTAGATAAATTTTCTACTAAGCAGCCTACTAAGGATGTCAATGCATGATTACTAACCGATGGTAAAATATTTTGGATATTGATGCTTGATGCATCATATGGTCTTCAAGTGTTAAGGTATATAGCTTTTTGAAGTTTGTGCTAAAAAATGGTCTCTTTGCATGATTGAGGCATTTTGGCAAATGAAATAGATTTTTGTGTTCAATAGTTAGAGATGGGAATTTCAACTAAAGGCCTTCTTTTGGAGGTTTGGTGTGGCTACCATCAGGCCATTGCCTTGTCCTCTTTCATTCTTATATTTTGTCGCTTGTTCTTGTTCATAAGGCTTGTTACCTTGCAATGCGCTTAGTTCAAGATGTTTGCTTTCAAGGATTTGAAAGAGTTTTCTCAAATTTAACTCATTTTTTTGGGTTGAAAAGTAGATGACTTTTCTCTCAATATCAGAAGGGCGTGTCATATCAATTATATGGGGCCAAGATGGGAATTTCATGTTGTATTGATTAGCAAGTGGTCCTCTGTTAGCATGACAAGGTTGTATGCTACAAATGGTAAACAAACATATTCTTGTTTGTCTTTCATAAGATGGGTACCGAGTTTGCTTAAATAGGAAGTAATCAAGACTAAAAAACATAAATGTGTAATGGACACTAAAGATTTCAGCCAATCTTGGCATAAATTGCAAACATATGCTACATATGCTAAACAAACATATGCTATATATGCTACATATGGTTAACAAACAGATTCTTGTGTATCATTCACTTGTGCATAGAACTGATAAGTTATTCAGTGTGAAGTCGATGATAAGATGAATTGTGTTTTATTAAATTGTTTGCGGCCAAATCTCTATACGAAAAGCCACTCTTTTACTTTTAGAAGCCATAACCTTTTTAATTTTTATGGGAGCGAAATCTAGGGCAAGAATAGCACTACTACACCTGCCAATAGGAGGTCTAGGAATGGAATAGAATCTTAAGCTAAAGGTGTCTGGCATCTGGTTCTTCTGAATCTCTATTCAATTATTTTTTGGATAAAATCTCTATTCAGTTTCATGGTTCAGTAAAAAGGCTGTCTATATATTGACTCTCACTAACCAATCCAAATATGTACATTGTTTTGAGGTCTCTGATGATACCTTGTTTCTCGTTTCTTTTACACTCCGTTAACTTTGGTCCGAGTGTTCAAATGATGCAGGGTGCATCATTTTGACTTGTCCAGAATTTGGAAATATGAAGATCTGTTAGTGAATCACCCTTCATAGCTTCTTGGTGTTACTGTTATACAATTTGTGCTTCTCTTCAGTTATTACTCATTACCAATTTACAGTATGGTACATATTTCAGTGCAAGTAAGTTGAGTGACAAAAAATTGAGGATTTGAAAAGTTTAATCTTATCCATGACCAACTATGAATTTTTGTTCTATGTTATCTCTGATCTGAACGTGAAGAGAATTGCTCAGCCATTGAGTGAATTATTGTTATTATTATTATTATTATTATTCTATTGTAGCCCATGTTTTAGTGGTATCATGCATGTTTGTTTGACTGTCTGAACTTGATGCTGTAGGTTTTACCCTATCTCTTGGATTCATAATTGAGCGTATGCACCATTATCGTAGAAAACTTATTGGGTTGAGGAGTAGTGTGAGATCTTCAAAAGAAGAAGTCCAACGCCTTCAGAAAGAGAGAATGCAGCTTAAAGAGAAGGATGACAAAGCTTCCAGGGAGATAAAGCTACTGAAAGAAGAAATTTCTACTCTATCAGAGAATTTGAAGAAGCTAAAGTTAGAATCTGAAGAGAAAGACCAAAAGATTGACACTGCTGAAACACATGTTGCTTCCCTCCAGAAACAGTCTGCAGATTTACTACTTGAGTACGATCGCTTATTGGAAGATAACCAAAATCTTCAGAATCAGGGTCTAGGATATAAGAGTTGAGGAAATTTTGAAGGACTGAAGAAATTTGTGTTTCGGGTACCGATTGGTGTTTCTTTCTCAAGGAGGTAAAAGGGGTCTGTGGCTTTGCCTGTGCACTCTTGAAAATCTTCAGAATCAGGGTCTAGGATACAAGATTCTCTTGAATCTAGAAAATTTTTTTGTCTTTTTTTTTTTTCTCCACCTTCTGAAATCAGAGGAACATAATTAAATCAGAAACCATGCAGTGACTTGTTAGAATACAACATGCCAACAAAGAAAAGCCACCGAAGGAACAATCATCAATATTATTATTATTACTATTATGTCAACTATTAAGCATATGACAAGTTCAGTGGCAATTTAGTGCCGAGGTGTTCTTTTGAGATCGTCACTCCTTGGTTCCAAAGACTTATTCTGCAGTGACCTTTTGTTGAAAGTGTCCGCACCACACTGAGCCAAAATTGCACGTACAATTAGCATCACAACCAGGATAGCATTTGCCAAGGCAATCCTTGTTAGTATGGCTCATTGGAGCAAATTGTTCTAGCCTCAGAATCCTCCATCAACCATGCTATAGCCACCAAATTAGCGTTACTCATCTAATCAGTTACTCTAAACACATGCTATAGTGTTTCTGAAATATAAAAAAATGATGTAAAAAGAGGCTTGCCTATACTTCCTGTTAAATTGGGATAGGATGGAGTACTTGCATGTACTTTAAATGGAAGAAGAGGAACATAATTTATTACAAGGAAAACACATGCTGACGCTCTTCACTGCATCATGGGAGTTGCCAGATAAAGGCATTTTTACAGTTGGTATTGAAGGATCTGCTTCATAGACCCCGAAACAATCCTGTCTACAGCCTTTGTGATAAAACTTGGTTAAAATGGTTATTCTCACCCATCTTAAGGTTTCTCATGATCAGCAGCCTGGATGCTAACCCTGAATTTCAGAGGCCAAAAGCAACAGGAAGAAGACCTTCACTTTATCCAATGCAGATGCTATAGATTCATATTCATGGTGGCTTTTAACTCCTTTAAGGAAAGCATGGAGCTTCCCATTCACATGCAGTACACCATAGCCAGGTACTTTCTTCATTTCCTATCCCAGTTCCAAGTCCATCAAGCTAACACACGCCTTAATAGCAAAAGCAGAAGTTACAACTTTATCTTCCCATCTAGGGGTAAAAAAATAAAATAGAAACTGTATATTCGCTTGGTTCATAACACCGTTGCTCTCCCCACCCCACCCCACCCCCCCCCCCCCCCCCCAAAAAAAAAAAAAGTGAAGAGGGCACGCATAACACATGATTTCAGCTCAAAATCTCCCTTTACACTTCATTTGGACTTCAGAAAGCATCCAAAAATATTAAGACTATGTGGAACATACATTAGTTTACAGTTTCTAATCCAAGCAACTAAAGGGGAAAAAAGGAACGCCTACCAAATTGCAATCTAACAATACTCCATCCTTCCATTTCAATAACAAGCTCATGAAGCCACATTATGTCAATAGAGCTGAACAAGAAAAAAAAAGCACAAAAAAGGATTGCTACATGCAGGGTCTTATCAGCCGAAACACAGCCCTGCAATCTTGTAGGGATAGTCAATAATACATCTTGAGATCCGACTGGTAACAACCACTTTCCAAAACTCTGAATGTCAGCCTCTAGATTCCAATGCAAGAATTATCTTCTTCCTTGGACCCTGGAAGTAAAGCAAGAACAAAGTGCAGGAAGAGAAAATAAGTAGGAAATGGGGAAAATAGACTATTTGTGATACATGCATATAACAGAAAAAGAAAAAGAAAAACAGCAAGGGTTGCTTAGTGAAGGAAATGCTTTAAAGCCTATAAATGAAGGCAGATATTTTATGTTGGACCAAAGGTGGAAGTAAAGTGACATATATTTTCAAATTACCTTGACACAAATTAAGGATTTTCTAAGACTACCTTGATCACTTACCATCTGTAAATGCCAGAAATTCCAAATTTTTTGAAGAAACGAGCATTTAAATGCAATTGAACTAATAATTCCAATAATAATCTCAAATGAGTATGCCATAAGAAGAAAAGCAAGCAAAAAATAGGGATCTTTAAAAAAGGGCATTTCCTAGCTAAAAAGAAAAAGGACATTTTCATACGTTAAGAACGTATGCTTTGACTTTTTAAAAGAGACAAACATTTGGTGCACATCAAATTGGAAAACTGGAGAAAACAAAGGGGAAAAAGTAACATTATTTCTTGGTTCTGAACCCAGATTATAGGATTCATCCCTATTTCAAATCCCTCATCAACCAAGACGAGCATCAAATACAACTTATGGCAAACTCAAATCGAAAACTATGCATCCATGTGAGCGTTTGTTTGAAGTTACCATTGGTATGCCTAATGCTTTCAGGTCCCCATCAGTCATGTGTACAAGAGCTGTCATATCAACCTGCAGAAGGAGGTTTACGTCTTACAGTGGAAGCAGAAAATTTTCTAATTCACGTAATGATTTAAAACAAGGGGGAAAATTTACAACATACTTCCTCTGCTTGAAAAGTAATTGCATATTTTTCAAGACCCAAAGACAGGAGAAAACCTTCCACTGACGCATCAGCCTGCATAAGAAACTAATCACTTAGACACTAAAAAAATAACTATAAAAACGCATATTGGCAAGAAACTATGATGGGGTGATGGCTCTTGAGTTGCAGCTTAAGCAGCTAAAATATGCAGGTCAATTTTACTAAGTTCACTTCATAAGGCACTGCAAACAATGTAAACAAGTCCTAGCAATGTGCATGCCATACATAGCAGGTTTTTGAAACCCACCCACCTCTAACAGGAGGAAACAGAGAAGATAAAACAAAGCTTTGCTTCTAATGTCATGCTTTTCCAATTAACAAAAACAATAAACATAAAACAGTAACAAAAATTGAATGTCAAGGTATTAAAATGACATGTCACATATTATGATATAATGCAAACAAAAATGCTAGCCATTCCCTTGTCTTGGGTTAACTTAGCGAAGACGGAGAAAACCGGAGAGGGGAAAGCCAGGGAGTGGGTGTCTCTAACAGCTCAAAATGGTAAGATAAGAATATAATAATAAGAAAAAAAAGCAGAAGTTCTATGCCTTTTGCAGAGCCTTCTTCCTTGCTGCTGCAATGGCAGCCCTTTTCGGCTCTGGTTCAGGAGTTTCGACTGCTACACTTTTCCTGGCTGGTTTGGCAACTTCCAGCTTTGGTTTTGGTGGATCAGCATTTATCGGCTGCATATTCATTGTTCCAGACAATTTTTCACGAAGATCATGCACACCAGAGAGAGTTCCCCTTCCACCTTGGGACACTTGTTGGAGACTTTTCCTTTGGAGCTTCAAACGAAGATCTCGGGCATCAACTTCACGATCTTCACAAGCCATTAACACACGGTCAAAACCAAAAAGAGAAAATTTAGTTGCATCCAACTATAGCAACAATATTTTAGTTGCATGTGATAGTGTCAGGCAATCCATACTTGAAACTTGAGGTACATCCTCTTGGTAGAGATCATGTTCCCACTTGTCATCTTGCCTCTGCCTGCAAAAGATATGGCATGGAGGATGTTCACAGATTAGGAGCATTAAGGCACAAATTGCTAATAAACCAAAATCAACTTCTTTCTTTTGGGTGGAAATTAGGATACATAAACCAATTTCAACAGATGTCAAGTAATATCAGCTGAAAAATCTATCACCAATACTTGAAAAATATATATATTTTACCAACATCGCTACCACAAATGCCTAAGTTCATAAGCAATAAGCACACATAAGAAAATTGCAGAGATAAAAACCACGTCAGTAAACTGGCTTGCTCTCTCCCTTTTTTTTTTTTGCCCCTTGGGGAGATGAGTAGAGTGCCTATTGAGCACCAAATGGAAAAAACTAAACACTCCATGCTAAAAGCAATAACTCATAATGTGCAGTGCAACCGACAAACTTTGGAAACTAAAATTTCAAAAGCCCCTTCCCAGTTCACTATTACCCATGACATCTACCCCCAATCCTTCCCTTCTTTCTATACATCAAACTAGATTTTACCCATTAAGGAACCAGAAAAGGCAAATCTATCTCCTGAATTTAGTGAATTTGAATAAGAACCATTTTTTTTTATTCAAATGATCTTTAACTTCAATGCACTCATGAACTCTATCTCAAAATCTTCACAGCAAATTAAGCTCAAATATTCAATGCAAAGCCAACAGAAAAATTGATTCCTCGTCCAAAGATATCAACATCAGGGGAAACAGTTCCTTTTTTTTGGCCAACCACTATCGAAAACAGTTAATGCATTACAATAAAGTAATAAGAGAAAAGGAAAATTCCTATTAATGCAAATAAACCCAGTTTTTTTTCAATTACCCTCCGTAGAAACAAACAGAAAATAAAGACACAGAAAACCAAACCTCTTGCCAGTGATTTGACGCCGCCGAATTGCGTTGTCTGAGGAGTTGCCATTGAGTCTCTCCTTTACCGACCTTTGTCCAGCAACCTCCACTCGATCAGCATACATCTCTATCCGCTAATCAAAAACCCTAATTCTAACCCTAATCTTTATAAATCACCAGAAAGAGAGCCGATGACGAAGAAAAATTGGTTTTCAAAAGGATTTTAAAATTAAAATTCTAGATAGTATGGGAAAGAAAAAAATGTAAATGATTTGCATAAAAAAATACATTTATTTCTACTTGAAGATTTTTGTTCGAAAAAGCGTGTTTGTCGCTCCCTCCAATTTGCAGATTGGCGAAAGCAATTTTGGGTTTTTTTTTTTTTTTTCTTTCAACCTTTTTGGTTTTCGAATTTGGGAATGCCGTGAGCTTGCAGCGAAGGCTCTGTTTGGGAATTTTATATTCCTTAGCACCACCGACTTTGTAGAAGCAAAACGCGCCGTTTTGCCAGCCAAAAAAAAAAAGGCGTGTAATCCCTTTGGATGCCCATTAGCCCGAATTTCTTAATAAGTTCGTTTCGTCCAGGTGACACGTTGCTATCGATTGCAGACTCAAATGATTAATTGGCTTTTTTTATTATTATTAAACGTCTCTATATCCAAACAAAGTCAATAATATTAATAGTATTAATAAAATATTAAATTTTTAATTTTAATAATTAAAAATTATTTATTATTTATTTAGTTTAAGAAAAAAATACATCAATCACTTTTGGCTATACATTTCCAATTATTTAATCATTAATGGTCACCCCTTTCGGCATTTACATCCAACTACTGTCCTTAGACCTGTTATTACAAACGCTAATCTTCTCTCACATGTTCCAGAAGACCGAAGAAGGGATTTGTAATTGCAGATTTTAGCAGAGAGTCAGCTGAGTTGAGCAATTCTATATCAACCTTCTCACGAGGAAAAACCAAGAAGTCGTTCCCTTCACTTCTCTCAAACCCACAGAGCTCAAGAAACTCAATCCCTCCTTTCAGGTTCCCAACCCTTTCCTGATCAGAAGAAAAGAAAAAAGAAAAAACACTGATACATACATAGAGAAAGAAAAGTCTCTGCATACTTCAATCAGATAATGGCACCGATTAAAAAGGCAGCTTACCTGGAATTTTGGGTTACTAAGTCGAATCTTCCTGTACTTTTCCTCATCGGGACTCCTTGCAACATTTCCTACATAAATCAACAGGGTCTGGTATGCCCTTTTGACTCTGGCATTATCACCCTGGAATAAAGGTAACAAGAGAATCATGTTGCTTCAAGGAAAATATGCTAGACAGAGTACATAAAAAGGACAATGTAGTTTAAGCCTGCAAAATATAAAAATGGAAATATGAATTCCGGCAGTCTCTGGAAGGAAAATTTTGAGCTTAAAATATGTATATTTGGAACCAGAGCTTAGCTCAGTTATTTCATGCAGCCTGTGACATCCACTAGGTTTAGGGTTCAAATATCAACACCTGCAATTCCATCCCTTCACCTATTTTGCCTCGTAAAGAAAAATGTATAGTTGCAATAAGCATATTGGATATTTTCAAGATTAAAGTTCTGTGAGTTAATAAGAAAATGACTTAGAAATTGCTTTCAAACCAAGCAGTGACACTTTTAAGCAGCTGTGGATAAAGACAATTCACCCCATTGAAGGTTTCTAAGCATTCTCATTGTGATCATCGTAGTCTAGAAGGATTATCAGTAATTTAAGAAATTCAGTGATATAATCTGGTTTCCAGAATTACATTTTCAAGCACATGGAGCCAATTCTAACGTATATAGGCTATCAATTGTTCTGTACGATTGGCTTGAAAACAATGAGTTAAGAAATTGCTTACCCTATAGGTGTGCTTCAGAGACCTTAGACATTCTCTCATGCGGTCAGCCTTTTTAACAGACTTAACAGGCAATGAATTCTGCAACTTTAACAGGATCAAACCCAATAAGGTCTCTTAAATTCTCCATAAAAAAAAGTTTTCCTTGTGTTTAGAGATACTATTTGAAAGATATATACACCTTTTTTTCTTGTATAATAGGTGCAGATGGTTTCACGGCTTGGCTTGTAAGTGGCAATCCAAGTGCTCGCTTTCTTTCTGACTGTGAAGATAAATGAACCATTTGAATGACATGCAGTTTCAAGAGCATATTGAGACCCAAAATAACATAGCAAGAATTCTTTTTCCACTCTTTTGGCCAGAACATGGTAAGAATTAGTACAGACCTTATCCAATTCTAATTTCTGAAGCACTTTCTCCCTTGCCCTTTTCTCTTCCTCCTTCTCTGCTTTTCGAAAGGCTAAAAGCCTGATAGATTATACATCCAGAAGTGAATTGTGTTATTGTTTTAAGAAAGTAGAGGACATATAAGGTATAAAAATTCTGTATAGAAAGAGCTTATATATGGAGTATTAAAACAAACCGTTGTCGCTCATTTTCCTCCGCAATTCTCTTTGCTTCAAGGAGTTCTTTACCTGCTCGAATCCTTTCCTGCAAAAAGTGTGTCAGATAGATTAGGCTAACTAAAATACCTAGATGCATGCAACGGCAAAACCAACAAAATGAATAATTACACAGTACCTTCTCCCTTTCTCTTTCACGTTTCTTTTCTTCTTCCCGTTTGTTTATGCGAACTCGATCCCTAAGAGTGAGCAGCTTAATGAGCATGAAAAGGAACAGGTTGAAAAGGGTAGTATGAGCCTTAACAAAGTCAACATTGAGATAAAATAAAGCATCAAACATAAAAGGGCAGTTTTAGACACTGAGGGAAGGCAATCAAATAGAAAAGTTTAACTGTCATGAAGAGGGTGTAAGTATGAGCTTCCATTGCAAAGGGATTGTTGAAGTCAAACCTCAGTTCCTGTTCTTTAGTTTTTATTGCTTCTGTGATATCAGATGCCTGAGGGGATTCAATATCCATGTTTATTGTCACCTGGATTTAATTGAACAAAGGGAAGAAAATCTTGATACAAAGGATGCAAAAACCAAACAGCCAAAGATTTTCAAACCTTTCCATGCAAAAGATATCAATATATAGACCTAATTAGATCCTTCTTTCATGAAATATAGCAACTAGGCCTACGAAAGCGAAGCTAAAATATACTAGTAAAAATTGCAACAATATATCTGGAACCTAGAACATAAAAACATGGCGATGAGAAAATAGAGAAAAGTGAAATAAACTAAATAGTTTATTTATGGTGTGAAAAGAGGGGGCTGATTTGGATGGGAACCAGATATCTTTCCCTAATGCATAGACCACAAAGCAGTATATAGTTTTTAGCAATTTTTTGCACATTCAAAGAGGGCCAGTTTCATTCTTCAATAGTCTAATTTTTTCCTCAGTTTGTCCTGCCTCATTGTCTATGTGAATGAACATGACTTCATCACTTTTTTTTTAAATGAGCGTAAACACAACTGCATTTTATAAGATTAAAATTGAAAACCTGAATAAAGGGATGCTGCTATGAAAAGTCCAATAAAATGTTATGAAGGAAACGAGATCAAAGAAGTGAAAAGCCATACCAATGGCATCTGGTCAATCTCTGCATCATTCTCATGATCAACGAGCCAATTTACAGCAGCCTCAACGGTAGTATTACCTGCGCAGCTCGGAAGAATTCATGTTAATAAAATATATTTGTAGTTCAAAAGAGCTCTAGAAGAAAAAACCAGACAAACATTATCTTCCACCTTGAAAATAAATTATAAGAGAAAGTAAAATACATATTTTTTGAACAAATATTGTAAATGGATCACATTTTGTATACAAAACCTCACCTGAATGATGAAGTGCCCGAACTGCTCGGGCCCGTGGGAATCCCAGTGATTCAAGTTCTCCAAGCAATTTCAATTTTACTTCCATAACAGGAATTTCTGCTGTATAGTTACAAAAGTAGTAAATTATGAATTCCAAACTATATAGTATTAAATTAACACAGAGTTATATAAGAATAGAAAACATGCATGAATGAGATATACCTTGTTGGGGATGCATTGGAGACAGGATCCAAGAAAGACTAGGATTGTGATTTGGGGTAAGGGGAAGATGAAAAGAAATGAAGTTTAAATGACAAAAGGGATTCTTGAAAGAAAACCCTACAATTTAACCACTGAAAAATGTTGAGATTAGTTTGTCAATAGGATTGCATACATATTCCAATCATTGGAAAGCCCTGGCAACGTTGGGTTTGGATCATTCCCTTTGCTTCTTGCTTTCTTCTTTGGCAACAGTTTGATTCCCTCTCCTTATATACCTTTGGGGCGCCGTGGCATTGGCTTACACGCAAAGAACTTTCAAGACCTTCACCTAAAATTTAGTCCCATCCTTTTTCATGATCCAGTAGACTTCTATAAGGCAAGTAAGTAAACTGGGCCATGCCAAACCTTAAGCGGTTAAGCTCAATCCAAATCAACGGATCCAAAGTCCAAAAATCAAAATCAAAATTTTTAGACACTTCCAGAAGCCGTTGGAAGTTGGCAGCAAACTAGTGGATGATGATCAAATACAAAAAGAAAAGGAAAAAACTCTACCCATTTCAGACAACAAAGCTTCCAGAGCTAAAAGAAAGAAGCGCTGAAAAGAGAGAGTGAAATCGATGTCAGGTGATGGCAAACCAAGAACAATCAAGCTTTTCTGTCCATCAGTGTCGAAGCTAGTTCGATTCGTGGCATGGGATGGCCAAAAACTGGACCTTGGATCGATAGCTCGAGCATTCGGGCTAGACCCATCAACGGTTAAGCTTAATGGGCATTTTATAAGCAGAGGGGTGGATCTTGTCTCTTCTTCTGTTACGTGGAGGTCGCTGCTTTCTTTCTTCTCTTCTAAAGGCTTGTCCACTGGGACTGACGAAAAGGGCGCTCTCATTGTTGATGGCAAGCTTTGCAAAGTTGGGACTAAGAGTAAGTAGTACTATAAAGTTTCCTGTTTGTTTCTTTTTTTGGGTGTTTTTGGTTGAAGTCTTGAAGACGGTCGTGTTCTGTGATTTCTGTTTGGTTTTCTGGAATCGTTATTAATAGTTCTCTTATAATTCTTGGTTTTCTTTGAATAATATAATTAGTGTCTACAAAAAATTGGAAAACTTTCAAGAATTTGTGGTTGACTAATGACTATGATCATTGAAACATTGGATGAGAATTTGTGTTTATGGCCTTTAGCTTTAGGATAGAAGAAGACTGTTTCGGCATGAGTAGTTGATCAATAATTGTGAGCAAGAGTGGGGATATGATAAAGTTTTTGAGGATTTTAGTTAAAAAAAAAAAAAAAGTTCAATTTTTTGGGGTAACTTCGATGCTTTTCTGAAGGAGAGTGTTTTGATTTCGCAGGAGCACATGAACCTCAAGATGCTGTGAATGGGAATCAACATGCAGCTGGAAAGCCCGGAGTAAAGGATGTTGGAATTACTGCAAAGCTACAGCGTGAAGAAATCTACTCGCTCAAGAATAAAAAGATGAAGGATAGCAGCTCAGGTAAAATACAGATCATGGATCAAGCTGACTCGGGCTTGATTTTAGTTACCTTTCTCTGCATAATTATGAAAGCAGCTTGTTCACCCTTAACCGAGATTGAGCCTTGGCATCCAGGATCCGGTGATGGAGGTCGTCCATATTCCGAACTGAATATTAGCCTTGGCTTCAGGAGAAAGAGTTTGATGGACGATGTCAGCTTACTCAAGAAATTAAAGATTAATGAGACTAAATCAAGTTTGTTCAAAACATTTACCATCTAAAAATCATCAGATCTTTTACCACTGAATGATTTTGATCATTTCAGATCATAGTTGTTTGTTTCATCTTCATTTGCCAGTTCAAATAAAGCATTTTTGTGGTTCCTATTACAGATTTTCAAGGAAGAGGGAACAGTGATTCCAGCACCGTTTCGAGCACATCATCTAAATGCAGTTATTTGAGTTGCAATATGAAGAGGATGAGGGAAGATGAAGTGACTGTTGCTGCATCTTGCAAGAGGATCAGCTCTGGTTCTCATTCCAGTTGAACGTGTATTTTCCTTCCCAAGCCAACCACCAAATGCCAACTTTCTTGTATGTTTTAAAGATATAAATTCATGTTTTTTTCTTTTTTTTTGGTGGTGGAAACAGAGTTGTAATAAGCTTAGATTGTAATTACATACAAACTTGAGTCATGGGATTGTGGAAGAACATCTTTTTGCTTTTTCACTAATCAGGAGGTTCATTATTCTTTCATTATGCTCATATTGTACAATGAAAACTTGTATACTATCAATGTAGACACCCACTTTTCGGATAAACTTAATATATTTAAAAATATAATAAATAAATAAAAGTAGAATTTCAATCCTGGTAAAACTCTAGGATTAAGAGTTTAATTTTTAAAAACAAGATCAAAGATTTGCTTTTTGAACGGGGATAAACAGATTGGATGAGAGGGTATTTGATTTTCAAAACCCTCGTTTAGCCTGGTACCTAGCCCTATATAAACAACCAGTGATCACAGAGAGGGGGGAACAATATCGAAAAAGCGAGAGCAGTAAGCGAAATGGTTCTCAGCCATATCCAGCAGCGATTTCATCACGCTCTCCCTATAGTCTCGAAACCACCATCTCCACAACAGCCATTGACACTACCATTGCCACCATTAGCCAGCCAACTGCCCATACTCCACAAATATTAATCAAATTCAGCGCACAATACACTTAACACCAACAATTCAGCCGAAACTCTCCCGAACCCATATCCAGCAATTTCATCAGCACAAGCTGCCACCCTGTTTTCATCACCACCTTGCCATTACCAGCACCATTAGTCGGGATTAACTCTCATCAACAAAGCCGTCCCTGATCTTCAGCAATCATACAACACCACTGCATTACAACCTAGCCATCAAACTCATATTTACCCAGCCACAGAAACCCACATTCACCCAGCTTCCTCATCCCATCAAATACCCAAAATCAACAGCCGCGATTCACAACCCAGCACTCACAGAGCATATATACTCGCCAATAAAAAGCCCAGAAGTAGCAAAACCGAAAAAACCCAGCTTCAACCAAATCCCGGCAAATAGAAACATAATCGAAAAATCCCACATTCAACCTAAGAAGGAGGGGCTGTTTGAAACCAAAAAGAGGAGACAAACACCAGAAAAAGGGTGAGAGGAGGATTTTTTCTGGCGGTGAAAAACAGAGAGGCCAACAAGCGATTTCCAGTGGCTTCATTCTAATCTTGAGCAGCAACAGAAGGTAGTGGTGGTCGTGACCCACGTTGCCGATGACGGCGCACGGCAACAGCATTGATTGAGGCCAGTGGGAATCCAGAAACCTGAGTTGTGGGTCTAGGAATTCTTACGCTTCTGGAGAGCAAAGAAATAGGAATTTCAGAGAGAAAGAAAATAAAGAAACAGAGGAGAAGACGAATCTGGAAAGATAATTACCTGGGTAATTTCTGGTAACCGACGACGGTAGACGACGACGTGCAACGATGCTAGCACCAGAATCTGAAAACCAACCAGTGTTCTTGATTTTTCGATCTCTGGGTAAAATCATTTAGGGAGAAAGGAAATTGAAGAGAGAGAGAGGGAGAGGGAACCGGTGAAAGGGAGAGTAAAGCTTAAAAGAGGGCTTTTGTAGGATTAACGAAACGGCGACGTTTTAGTCGAAGAAACCGGGTTCCCTTTGACCCATCTGAAAGATCCGTGCATCAGCCATTGAGTTTTTACTTCGGATTTTAAATAAAGTTCAATCTTTTTACACTACCATGTATGCAATCCTTCAGACCTTTTACTGATGTTCTGAGGGACTACAGCATATATAACAAACGTGCATTCTCCAAACAAATTGAAGTTCTGAAAGCATGTTAAAGAATAATCAAAAAGGGGGGACAGAGAGAGAGAGAGCATCCCAATTGCCAACCAGAAACATAAAGAGATATCCGAATCAGAACAAGAAATAAGAAGCTAGTATTATTATGTTGTCAAGCAACTTAAAAAGGACCACAACTTTAAGAATGATTGGCCATAAGTGAAGTCTAACACCTTTCATTACAGGTTCACTTCCTAACCTGCTCACCTGACCATGTGGCTAAGACAGATAGACATGCCCATTACTAGATGTTACCAAAGTTTGCATTGAACTTGAGAAATTGGACTCGTGTGGTATTGATCAACTACACATAAAGTGCGATTGCCATAATAATATAGGAGATTAATGCTATGATGTAAAACCATAACTAAAAAACACGTTGTCAAGAGATAAATTTATCTTTGTCTTTAAGAAATCTCTCCTCCTCGGCAACACACATTTGTAGTACATTGAGCAATAATCCAAAATACAATGCAAACACCATGTCCATGAATGTGATAACATTGTAAGGCATGCTAAAATCAGGAGTTGCCAAAGGTACCAGTAATACTTTTGTGTAAGACATTACAGGACTCTTTTCCTGCATGGCAGATCAAGCCAAAATCACATGAGAAGAAGAATACAAATTGATCATGTTTAGGAACAGAAATATCAAGAGGTTAATTCCTGAAACTTTGACAACAAGGGTGACCTGATCAAAAAGTCATATACAAGAAAAACCATGCTTGCATGGAAGTTGGGAAAGCTTATAATAGCTGATGGTATGTCAAATCCTTGATTAGCATTAGGAGGGTATTCGTCAATGTGTAAAAACCCTATTCAGACATATCAAAACAGAGGATTGAATAGAAATTACAAAACTAGATCAACTAATAGCTAAATAAACATAATGAAAAGCACATCTTATCACACTCTGTGGTTAAAGCAGCAGAGTTCGCTCTGCAAGGAAGCTTCAGAACCACCACCATCACGCCAGGAGACACTTTGTCTTAGGAAGGTGAAACATGTATCTTCTCAATAATGACTGAAACATCCTTAGGTTGTTGATCAACAAACACTTGCAGAGAATGAAAATAGACCTTAAAATACCAAAGCACAACTTGCAAATATCAACTCACAATTCACACCTTTCATCATCGGAATTAGCACCCATGAAGCCCTCGCTCAATTGTGTAGATTTTAAAGAAATAGCAATGGCACCCCTCTCCTTCCCGCTTCCCATCAAGAACCTACTAGCACGTAATGGTGCTTGTTGACACAACCAAACTACAGGAATCTTCCAAGTAAGGCCAAGATCAAATGGCTCAGATTCACTGCATTTCTCAACTTGGAGCTTGTATAAAACAGATGAACTCTTCGTATGAAAACTGTTTTCTTCTATAGATATCCTGTCTGGGTTAGCAGACAACTCAAAACTGGGATTAGTCCAAAAATTCTCCGAGGTCAAACCATTTTCTGCAGACTTCTCATTTTCTTGTAGATGTTTTAGTTCTGCCACTAAACCCCTGTCAAGAAGAAGATACACATTACTCGACTTTGCAAGAACACATCTTCCACTAACATGTTTCCCAAATATTGAACAAAGAGACCAGCTTAGTTGAATATAATTTTCACTTGCATAGGCCCCTTCGACTATTAGGCTGGAGAACAACTGTAAGTGTCAGTTCTAATATGATGCCTGAATACATCCACTCAGAACCAGATCCAGTTGAGGTCATATGTAACCGTTGAGAATGACAAAAAGCTTTGTAAATTGATGGCCTATCCAGTAACACAGCAATCCTGGCTTTGTCCCAACACGGAAGCAACTTCAGCCATGGAATTAGACTCTCCATGCAAACAGCTTCATAAGGCAATGTACCATACCTCAGATTGCCTGAAGCACGTGGAAAACTCCATTCTAGGGCAGAAGAAGTTGTAGTAGACTCTAGGAAGTTGATTGCCGCACAGAAAAGACCTGAGAGAGTGTGTTAAATTCTTCCAGTAAGCATCAATCTGATGTAGAGGGACATCAAAGACAGCCCATAACTCAACTCCAGGGGGCTTTGCATTGCTGCTTGGTATGGAATCAAATCCACCCCAGCTTCCATAGTTCCAACAACCTTGTGTGAAAGGCAACTCCATTTCCTTAACTTGAAATTTCTGAACCTGTTCAAAGATGTTGATAGTCATGATTTCATGCACTGTTTTCAAATACTGCAAAGACTTATCTTAATTGTTAATCTTTTTTTTTTTTGGGTACAAGGGACAGCCAGTGGCCCTATACAAAAACAACTAAAGTAAATGTTAATCTTTTAATATCTACAACAAAGCCATTTATCTTAATTGTTAATTTCTTAAAATCTACAACAAAGCTAGTATCAAAACTATATTATCTTTTCCTTACACAAAGAGAGATAGACAAATTACTGCAACACATACACGATTAGTGCATAAGATCTTTCAGGCAAACTTAAAGCCAAGTTTGTACCTCATGTCATACATAACATCATTGAAAAGGTTGAATGAGTTCATCAGAACATTTCATTCTCATGTATATTTATGAATGCGAAAAATAATTATTTAATCATACCTTGAGCAAGAAAATAGCAGAGATAGGTTGAATGATATATTAAAGTACATAAGCTAATAGAAGGTTTTCCAAAGAAAAAAAAAAAAGAACCCTTACGAACTACCTTAATTGACTTAAGGCCAAGCTGAATGCTCCCAAGATAATGATTAGATTTATCCTCAAAATATACTGCACCAATTTTTCATCATGAAGAAAAGCTAATAAATCAAAATTTTAAATCCTGATTAGCCTGGTAATTTGATGCAAGTCCACTAACTACTTAAATTGGCTCAACCTAAGTTGACAACTACATAGTCCTTACTTGACCTAATCCTTAAACCTTAAATATAAATTTCAACATCCAGGCAAAAGCAGACAATGGTTCAATATTATAAGGAAAGATTGCAAGTCTTAGGCTTTTCTACCTTCTTTCTTAACTATAAATAGATTCAGAAACTAAAGAAATCCACTTGACTTAGCTAAGCTAACTTCTCTAACTTCATTAAAAAAAAAAAAAAACAGAACAAAAGAAAAAAATAAATACCCAGAAAATATGTTTTCTAAATAAAAAGATTTCTCAGTACCCAAAAGAAGAATTAAAAAAATAAAAAACAAAAAGTAACAACGGAGAAATGGTTTTGGGACATAAGTGGTGGTGGCGGCCATTAGAGGTAGAAGGAGAGGCAGAGCTTTGAAAATGGAAATGGGCCAACACTTTGCGATCACGCAATGGCTTTAAGAGTAGTTTCTCACTGAATTCTTCTTCGTTGACCTATCCAAAAGCATCCAACATTGCAAGAGTTGATGAGTTACTATAAGAAGTGGTCTTTGAAGAAGGGCCATTACTGGGTTTTCTTGGCAAACCGAAACTATGCTACTGGGTACACAGAATCCGCCGTGTGAGCGCCCAGTCCCCGGAGCTTACCAAAAAAAAAAGGTTAAAAACTACCTGATCGGTGAAGAGCTTCTTTTGTTTTTTCTAATTATACAATTTCTCCTTCTTTTTCTTCTTCTCTCGGCCATTTACAATTTCTCTTGTTAGAGCTGGACTAGATGGTGTTCTAGGATCGAGAATTGGGCTTCATAAGCCCATTCGACTTTAGGATGATAAAAACAGATGAGGCTGGTACAATTTTGGTAGCTTGAGAAGTAAATTAAAATTATCAAATTATTGTTAATGGTTGCGTGATCTATTAAATCTGATAATTTCAAGCATAAAAAAATTATCAAATTATAATTTTTAATACAGATTACTAAAATTATATAAAAGGTTTTCAATGTTATCAAAATTAAAATTATATTAATTTTAATTAAAATTATATCAAGTTATTAAAATTGTATCCAAATTACTAAAATACTATCAAAGGGTACAAAAAATTGTATTAATAATTATCAAAAGTATATTATAAGTTATTAAATTATATGAAAAGTTATCAAAGTTATATTAATAAGTTATTAAAATTTTATAAAAAATTATCAAGAATTATGTCATAAATTACCAAATTACTATCAAAAGTTATCAAAATTGTATGAAAAGATAGCAAAATTTTATCAAAGATTATAATTTTCTTACAAAAATTGCTAAAAATATATTAATTAAAGATTATTAAAATCAAAATTACTTAAAAAAATGTTGTCAAATTGTATAAGAGTACCAATATTATATCAATCATTATCAAAATTATATAATAAAGTACAAAAATTTCGATAGCCAAAAAATTTTGATTTCATAAATATAGCCGGAGACGGATTCCATAACATTGCTTGAAATCTCATGAAGACCAATGACCATCTTCCTTCTATTCTGCCTTTGTTTTTTCTTTAGTTGGCTGTAAAAGCAAGAAATCAAACAGAAGAACAAAAAATCCGCCTTCTATATGTTGCATAAATGAAGCTTACAATAGTTATACAACTTTGTGATTGATCACATTTATGATCATCAATAGGAATATTTACAAAGGATTAATTACTTGGTAGCACTCAGCTCATGAAGTCGTACGTTCTTCTTTTCCTTGGACAGTGAGAAAGTAGGAAGAATGTTGTTTGCCATTTTTAAATACTTTTTCTATGGTGGCAACAATCACATTTTTTCATAAGAACCTGCAATGCATGCACGTGTGAATGTTGTGTTTCATCTCATAATCACATTCATTGGTGATAAATACTACAAATAAGATGTAATATACGTACCTTATGATTGCTGTCCACATGAATCGATGCTTGATGAGAAGAACAAGTCTTAGGATCTAAGTGGGGAGAGTGGCGAAAAATTGTTATAAGATGGTTATAGATGCTGAAAAATGAAAATCCAACGATACATGAGTAACTCAAAAAGACCATGATCATGTTCATGTAACAACTACTTAAAGAAGTCATGTGGTGTTTCATGTTTGCATGGATGAATGGATCATACCTTAATCTATGCTGGTTACAGGATGTTAAGAATGCAACAAGACCGCGTATAATGTTTCGAAGTGATTGGAAGACCTGCAAGACAAATTTAAACCTGGTTTTCAGTGGACTGTAGACAGCATTCTGAAAAATGGTAACAGAACAGGTATGTATGGAAAAAAAAAATGACATGCTGACCTCTTTGTAGAGATCATTCTGAAGAGAATGCCAATATGAGACCCCTGATGAAGCAGACTTTACTTGAGAAACATATGTTATTTGATTTATGCTACTTGTGAGGGGGACTTTTTCAAGCATTGCATAGATGCCATGGAATGTAGAAGCAACATAATTTGCCAACATAAGACCGCCTTTAGTAGAAGTGAGGAGCAGCTCCCAAACACATTCGAAGCATGCACAAATCAATTGGACTGGAACGAAAAGAGTCAAGATTAGGTTTTGATTGATTTTAGACCTGAAATTTTAAAATGTCAATTAGAGGTGTAGTTATATGCACTTTTCTATGTTTATTGGGGCTTCCCAAACATTTTGTGAATACAATTAATTCATTGTCTAACTACAAGGAAAAGGAAATTTTCTGAGAAACTGATGGTGATTATATGTCTTTAAAAGAAATGGTCAAAATGGCAGACAGGTATGCATGTGAAAAGCTTCTAAAACCTTTTTTTTTCATGTGTAGATTGTATACCTGCACTCCACACATACTTATAGAGAAGCCCCAATGGTGAAAGTAAAATCTCAACAAAGTCTGAAACCAAGCTGCAAAAGGGTTCTACCAAAATCCAAGCAGTGATGTAGAACTGCTCTACCGTTCCAGCAAAAATGGTCCATGCTGGTATTACCAGCGTCATTATCTCTTCCAGTGGCTGCATCAAGGGCCTTGTCAACAGCAACACTGGTAATTTCATTGCTCGTGCCATCATAAGAAACCACTTGACAGCCTTCACAAGATTCTGAAGGAATAAGAATGTTCCAAGATATCTTATTCTTGAGATCATATCCCAAGCTTCAATCCACTTAAAAAGTGGTCCACAAAGGTGTGATGCGGTTGACTTCAAGAGTGGCACATTCTTATATAGATCATAAAACCCAATAATTATAGTAATAAGTGAGACGAATATAAAGATGGTACTCAGCAGAGGTGGCATCCAGTGACGATAAACTTTACAAAATAATGGATAAGATTGGAGAAAAATAACCCAAGAAGGAAGTCCTGCTTCAAGGAAAGCAAGAAGCTTTAAATCTGAGGTGATTATCTGCCTTAATTTAGGTGGCAGATTCCTGTCATTGAAACTGAATAGCAGAAAAGTATGCTGGTATTCTGTAGGCTTATCACTCGTCCCACGTAACGACTCTACTTCTTGATTCATAATAAATTTGTCATCTGTGTCGAGGAAGCATTGTCTAACATCAAAGAAGGCGTCTTCTGAAAATAGCTCAGCTTTAGATGTATCATCAAACAATAATTCTCTAGAAGAAATAGTAATTCCCTGTGTAGTCCGAGAATGAACTTTTTCTTGCAGAACTATCAGATTTCTTTGTAGTGTTAGTGTTTCTGATGGTGTGGCTGAAAACCACGAAGAAATGCTGCTCAATGCCTGGGCAATGCCATTAAATTCCCATTTTCTCATAGATTTCACTTCCAAAGCAAGAGATGCATCTTTCTGTTGGCAAAAGCATATTAGAATTTAAAAAGGATTTAGAATGAATGTATAACTAATTTGTTTCTATAAAATGACATCAGAATCCACTTCATATACAGAAGGCAAACTGAGAATCCCATAGCTTTTTATCAAAAAATTTTCCAATTTTATATTTATTCAATGTTGATCATGGAATATACTTTTTACCATCATCCTGGATCGATTACCTGAAGTAAGTTCGTATAGTTGATGCCACGAACATCTTCCCATGCAACATCAAACACAATAAAACCATGCAAGGTTTTGTACAAATTCAATGCAGAAAATGGAGAGTTTTCTCTCCAAGTAGCCATTGTAACAGTGGGAAGCCACTTATTCGAGCTCTTTTCAGAACTAGGTGATCTGCTTCTTAAACTTGGACTCCTCGGTAAAGTTCTGCTATTTTTAAAAGGTGAAATTCTATACTGTACACAAAGACAGGAACGGAAACATTGTTAACACTAAACAAGTAGTTAAAAGTCACAAAGAAAAGCCAACAGCTGTTTGGTCTGCTGGTAGAGTGCTGGATTTAGACTCTTATAGTTCTGGTGACCAGAATTCAAATTCTGGTAAAGGACAATATGGAATATATACTCACCGTGGTGCTCATTAACTCCTTTATGTGGGCAGATCTTGAATAATGGTTGTTCATCCTCCATGATTGATTATCTACCAGGATAAGAAACTTCTTACTGATGGGAGCAAAGAACAAAAATGCACGTGAAAGATAAGATTGTATGTTCCTGCCACAAACAATGAAAGCTTGAGATCGATTGCATCTACACTTGATATCAAGAACACGCATTAGGACTAGATACATTCCATAGGAACACAGTTTCTGACCGCTGATTCTATCATTGATTTTACACTCCTTTTTAACTTTTGAATGAGATATCGAAAAAAGGATATCGATGGATTATCCTGCTGCACTTCTTATAAAGGCATCATCAGCCAAGAAAAAAAAAACCAAAATCAGGTATCTTGAATTACACGCTGATCAATGCGTAAAAACTGTCAGAAACCTGGTAAAACAGACAAAGTATGCACTCAAGCACCTGATTTTTCCTTAAAATTTTGTGTTTTTTTTTTCCTTTTTCAAGAACTATATATGTGTAGTTGGATGATAAATGCATTACAGCTCTTCATTTATCTAAAATTGATTAGGAGAAGAAACAAGAAACAGTAATTTCATTAACAAATTCATTTGAAAAAGATTTGCCTCTTACCCAATCTGCAGACTTGTCAAAGGATAAAGATCAGGAAAAGAGTCCATTCTTCTAAGTTTTAACTATTGGCTCTCAAAAACTCTCACTGCCCTTTACCCTGGTCCAAATCCAAAAGCTAACTTACATATAGAAAAAAACAAAACATTAATGATGTTGGAAAGCAACCATGATTAAGAATCCAGTAATTTCTTAATGAGATTAAACACCAATAAAAACATATGCCATTAATAAACATAAAATTAATGAAGAAAAACAATCAAACTAAGGAAAGATAACCAATGATCAATTAAGAGCCTAACCTTTTGACTTTTTTTCTCTTTGTTTTTGCGGGTTTTCCTTTTTGCGGGTTTTCTTTTTGGGAAAAAGAAATGCAAACCCCAAATCAAAATCTTCGTCGTGCCATGTCATCAAGTTAGTTATTAGACGGTTGAAACAAAGCACTAAAATATGATGACAATGATAAACTTAGACAACTCACTCCGTGTTTTAATTATCCGTACTGATAAATGATCATCATCGTAATTTGTCAATTACCTTTTTAACCATGAATATTATAATTAGTTACTATTATTTTTTAAACTAAGAAGGCGGTAACAAAGGATTTCTATTATAATATACATATGCTTGTCTATATATATAATTAAAAGAAAAATAAGATATATGTCAATTTTTTAATAACGTTTGTGAAATTAAAATTTTATATTAATTATATATTAAATACTAATTCTTTGTTTCGTATGGTTAATTTTATTTGTAAAATTTAAAAGTTTTAATATAATAAATGTGATAATTTCTGATACATACATATATATATATATATATACACCATAGTTCAATTTTAAAATATTAAATTTATACAATTTGTGAGATGTGAGGTAAGTTGAGGAACCAAGTTAGCAACTATCAACCACGTTGAAGTTGTAAAACTTACCACAACCTTAGGGATATAATTCAAAAGGTAGACTGTAAAATCACTTTTTGTTGCAATAGCATTCAATATTTCTTTCTTTTAAGATGACATCCAATAGTTATTTTAATTAAACAAGATAAAATCATATGATTGCTAATAATATTATTAAATAACTTAAATTCTTTTTATTCAAGTTTTTTTTAAAAATTAAAACTTTTAACTTTTTGAATCACAATAAATTGAATTGAATTTCGAACCAAGTTTTCGTATGCTACTAAGCATTTTTGTTATATGGTAACAAAAGAATATAATATATGCTCTAAAAATATTTTTGGACCTGCATAAATTTCCAATTTCAAACCATCCGATTTTGGATACTTACCATATTTCTAATCGGATCCATCCATAAACAACACGTGCAAAGCCGACTATTTATCAATGTGGATAAGGATGAAATCCCAACCAATCACAAAATTTTGAAAATTTTTTTTGTTTTAATTATTTTTCACGTTCAAAACGTACACATCTATTCGTACTCACTTCCCTCTCAACCAAGAAAGCAAAGAAGACGACTTGTCGGAATCCCCTTCACACGCCACCTCAATGTTCAAACCATCCTCAACCATCCAATTTCCCAATCACTAATCTCGACCGTTCATTTGATCCCCCACCGCAAAATCAAAATTCCCTTTAATAGATTAGCCTAAATTCAACGATTCCAAGTTCCCAAAACCCGGAATCCAAATCTTTATCAAATCCAGTTCAATTCCGACGCTTTTTTTTTTCCCCACGTTCAATCAAGTAACGGATCCCCAAAACTCGCCCTCTGAGACTCACCACGTCGTCAACTAGTGCAAATTCTTTTAAACAATATTACTTTAATGCCACTACGTGGCGAGCCTGCGAACGTGGATTTTGAAATTGGAGTTCACTTAGTGGTTTACAATTGTATATATAGCGTAAAGGCAACGCCTTCTCTTCTATATTTCAAAGACCCTCCTTTGTCTTCTTCCCTCCGAACAGCGCCTTTTAATTTCTCTGGACAGGAGAAACCAGAAGCGGGAGAAGCCCTAAAAGTTAAAAAGAAAAGAGCAGCAGGGTAGGAATGTCAGCGACAGCAAGCGTCGGTGGCGGAGGCCAGGAGGAGGATAAGAAGCCAGCCGATCAATCTGCACACATTAATCTCAAAGTCAAGGGCCAGGTTTTATTTTGAACTCCTTCAGATCGTCTCTTTTATTTTTCCTTTTTATTTTTCTTTTTCTCATATTCTTCGGTCGTTTGGTTGCAGGATGGAAATGAAGTGTTTTTCAGGATTAAAAGAAGCACTCAGCTTAAGAAACTGATGAATGCATATTGCGATAGGCAGTCGGTTGATATGAACTCAATTGCCTTCTTGTTTGATGGGCGGAGGCTCCGAGGAGAGCAGACTCCTGATGAGGTAAATTTCTTTACTTGTTTCAAAACCCTGGGTTAGTTCTCTTGATACTGTTATTTCAAGGTTCTGTGAAATGTTATATAAACATATACATAAACTTTTGAACTGATAATTTCAACTACTGCTCCGAGGAGACATCTTAAATGTACAATTTCTTTTTTATTTTTAAAATATTTGCCGGAATTTGTTGTCTATTAAATCATGGTTATGTAACTTATAGCTTTGGTTTTGTCTGGATTTTTTCATGGGTGTTTAGCTCGAAATGGAGGATGGAGATGAAATTGATGCGATGCTGCACCAGACTGGAGGCGGGTGTGGAAGTCCATAGCTCTGCTGCTAATTGGACTACATTTGAATACACAGGGAAATTGCTATGGAAGGCAGATACTTGGAGCAAAGTAGTAGTATCATATATGCCTATACTAGTTGTGAATTTGTTATGCATGGGTATTTATTTGGTCTGGCCTTGTGATTTAATACTTTATGAAGAAGTATACTGGTATTATGCTTCAGATTTTGCTTTGGCTTTTATGGTCATTTGATGCTTTGTTAAGCACATCCCGGTTGGCTTAAGTTAATAGTTTGGGTTTACAAAATTACAAGGGTTGATGAGTCACCTCATGTCAAATGACCAAATGCTTTTAGTCTTATCGATACTTGTGTTGTTTCAATTGGCAAAATTAATGAATGTCGACTCAGAGAAAGTTTGCTTCTCTCTTATTTATTTGAGTTTCGAATATGTTGAAAGGGTGATATAATTTTTTATGAATTTTTAGATCAGTACGCCTACTTAAACCGACTTTAAAAGAATATTATATCTTATGGAGATGATGTAGGTTCAAATAATGCTGTGACCGGGAAGTTAATTGCAAGTCATAGGCAGCAAACTAATGTGGTTATTTAAGTTCTGGAAAGTTCGCCTTAAAAGTAAGGGCTCCAATCAGGCGACACGAATGCTTGATTTGGCAAAATCAAGTACAACAATTGAGAAATCAAAGTTGATTTTTACATCAGCATCGAAGAACACAGCAACTAATAATATTCAGTTATAATCTTTATACATCCCCAAATGACGTGTAAAACGGGATGACAATATCAAAAACAAAATTCACCAAGAAGTTTAGCTACTTGTTTAGAAATTAATATATCCCATACACTGCTGGGATCGTGGGAATTCTTTGCATGTCGTGAAGCATAGGGAACCCATGCTGGTAACTAAAGCTTTTTGTTGGTCTTCCAGCAGCAACCAGCAAGAAGCACAAAATATAAAAGAGATTGATTCAGATTTAACGGAAACAAGCATAACTCCCATATATCAAAATTTTAGACTTTGACCTGTCAAAATAATAGTAGAATAAGTCGGTATAAAGGAGTGTCTGAAGGAAACCAGAAATCCAAGCTGCAAGAACCATAAAAGAATCGATGAAAAAGAAATTATGTAAGAAGCAAAGTCTACAGAAGCACACAAGCGAGTATATCAAGAAAGGCAAAAGCCCACGCACACAAGATAGTATTCAAAATAATTAAGTTTTCTAGAATTAGCTTCATTCAGCTCGATAAAGTTGGTCATCAATTCCAACCATTCATAAACCAAGCAATAACTTATGAGATGCAAACAGATCTACAAGCCAACCAGAAGATTCCTTCCAAAAGTTATTGAATACATATAAGCAAAAGCCCAAGGGAATCAGATGAACATCGTACCCTCTTGACTCCCGAGAATGTCAAAGCTAGTACTATACAATATGTTGTGTTGCTGTAACTAACCAACATCACCAGGAAGATGCTAATGACGTTTGCCAATTTAACTCCATGATCACCACCCTGTCTGTTGCGCGAGGCAGGGAAAAAAGACTGGGTCCAGAGCCAAGTGAAGCAATTCACAAATTATGCAACCCCAAATGCTTCTTGAGTTACTACTACAGTTATATCTAGTACTAGATACCAAGAGATGAAAATCATTATGTACAACAAAGGAGTGACCATATCAACATATGCAATATGCTACAGACATCATCTCCATATCATAGCAACATTCTAAATTTTAATTTTTTTAATGCTGTAACAACCACCATTGGCAGACAAAGAGAATCTAGAAATCCTAACAATCAACAATAAAAAAAAAAAAATGCTGTGATGCTGAGCTTAAATAGATCCAATTCAAATATTCGGCTATGTATCAACTAGATGTGGAGGCACATGGCTCTAAAAACATCTGCAAAGAGATGAATTGTCAGCATTGCTCACCTCTCCTACCCACGTTTCAAAGTTTAAAGAGGAAGGAAAAGGAAAGAGAAGAAAGAACCTCTTTGCAGCCTTTCCAAAGAAAGAGTTTAAAAGGTATATGATAAACCAGTTTATACACGTGTGATGAATGTAGCCTGTAGGGAATCCAAAGCAATACATGCTCTAAGAGAGAAAGACTTGACATAGTGCGGTTCAGTGAAGTATCAATCCAATCCAGTTAAGGATGTGTAACAATCTATATGCAGTGCAATAAAAGAGAGAAATATAGGCAAATCTGTCCATTACACGCATAAACATGTACATCTACTTAGCAAAAGGAAAATTCATAGTCCTGTACAAATCTAGGAAGACATCATCAAAAAAATATTCAAACACGAGTGCCTCATTTTTCTTCATTAGGAAATTTCATATTACGGTTAATGATGCATTGTTTTTTTGCTACCATACTGCATACAGATGCTTCCAGTGCATTTGGAATCATAAGCAGAACAGCTTAAAATTTCCATTTTTAGTTTGCCAAAAAATCCTTTCCTCTAGCTCTCTTCATTGAAGGCTATAACTGTCTAATTCAGGCCTATTATTCTTCTCTTTTGGGCCTCTGGCACATAGAATATCTAATCCTAAAAGTAACAGTATCATCTTATAAGCAGCAAAAATCCCTAATCATTATCTCTTGTACGCTTCAAACATAAACTTCACTGAACTCAAAAAGATAATAAACTTCACTGAATCCTAAAGAACAGCAATGATTAAGAATCTAAAATGTGATGCAAATGAAAGCCTACAGTTTTGATGCTGAGACTATCAATGGAAAAGTCTCGTGTTCAAACAACAGATTGTTTATTGAAAAGAAATTATGCTTAATATATAATTAAAAGTTAAAACATAATGTAGAACCAATTCAAACAACAAATGCACTAATCTAAAATGAACCAACAAAGTACAAGATCTAAGATATTGTCAAGTAATTAAACAAACATTATTAGTTTAGGAACATAGGAAAAATTTAAAGCATACCCAAGAAGAAATACATATTGGCCTGTCAAGTTGTCAATGTTTCTAGTCCTTTGCAAGAGTACAAGCTGATGGAGTATGGCAACAGCTTCTAGATACAAAGAAAAAGTCCACATTACCTCGAAACACATCTTCCATGAATCAAAATAAAAATATAAAATGAACCATAATTGAAAAAGACAGTGAAAAAAAATAAACAAATAAGAGACCTCCTTGAAGGTGAATTTCTCATTAATGAGAAGAGCCAAGAGCAGGCAAGGGAATAGAAGAAAATAATGGTGGAAAGTGAATTGGTCTTTATCCTAAGACCTTCAAACAATCTTATGGCTATGCATGGACCAAAACGAGCTTCCCAAAAATATCAATTTCATCAAAGTGTAGTAAAGAGATATAAAATCAGTAAAAATGTCCAAGTAACAGCTAAAGAAAACGATCACATAAAGTTCTTGTGTCTTCAAAGAAATACCTGTGGCAATTAAGAAATATTAAAAATTTCATCTCGAAAATTAAGAAAATCAGCATTGAATTTTTATTTTTTTTAAGAGAGAAAATATGTTACCTGCGCAAGATTTGATACTGTGGATTTTGAGGAGCAAGACGAGAATGCCGGCCAGGTGAGTCATATCACCTGCTAATCTGAATATATTCATTTTCACTCTTCCAGATCCAAAACCCTAAATTCCTTCAACTTCCACATAAAAAAAGCCAAAACATTCCAACGGGCTTTTCCTTTTTTTTTTAGGGGGGAGAATGGGTTTGATCTCGTAGTTTCCAAGTTTTTCCTTTCTTGTTGGTTTTATTTTTTTAAAGACAATGATCCTTGACCAATAAAATACAGACACATCATTGTCATAATATTCCCTGTCTCTCCATCGTCACAAACATTGGAACAAGAAATATGAATATTCAAAGGTATTATGAATTTGATGCAGAAAGAAGGGAAAGGGAAGACTAGAATCCAAGTTCTAAGTCATTCATGAGACATTCAAATGAGTCTCTCATCTCTTTCCCTCTGTAAATAGCACTGCAATCTCAAGATCCTGACGTGAGAAAAGTAACAAACAGTGATCACACATGACAATTATGAACACAGTTTGTGTAGTCCTAGAGATCGTGCAATGGTGAAAAATGATTTGAGGTTGGCAACGGATCATGTTGGGTTTTTGCTCGTCTGAAACCCGACCCGATTTTATGATCATAAAAATCGAATTCGATCCAATCGGATTTTTTTTTTTTAATACATGAATTCAACTCAACTCGATATTGTATAAACCGTATCCGACTCGATCCAACCGAAATTAATAAAATATTATTTTTTAAATATAAAATATTATTTTTTAAAATATAAATATATAAATAATTAATTAAATAATTAATTTTTATATAATATCAGACCGAGTTAGATTTACCTAAAATTCGAATCTGACCTAATTCTGAATTTTTTTTTTACATTACCTGATTTGACCTGACCTAAAACTTGATTTAAAAAAAAAAAAAATCGACCATATAAGATCGGGTCAGGTTGGACTGCTAACCCTAGTTTTGACAGACTAAAGCAACAGAATAATACCAGAGGATTACATTTATCTGCTGCTCTCTTACTGGCCCTTAGGTGCCCTCGTGAGATCAACAGAATAGTTTTATGTAAAACATCACGATCAAATAGTTTTGAAGGAAGTGTAATCCACTCTTTGATTTATTGGAAGACCATTTCATAAAAGTAATTCGTTTAAAATTTACAGCTAAAATTAGAATCAACAACCAAGGAATGCCCACTAAAAGCTATTCTTTTGTTAAGATAAACTAAAAGATGAGTAAATGCTTTCTCCCAAATAAGATTGCCTTTTTCAACCTAGTGCCAAAGCAAAGAGGGGATGTTTTGAACACCGCCTTCCTAAAATGCGGTGATCTCATTCACCTTTTTAATCTCTTATCCTACTTTGTCAGTTTAACCATCTCCAGGTTGTCACACATATCATGTCCCCTGTAGGCACTCTTAACTCTTAAAGAGCACATTATATGTATCAAATCAAAATCAATAAATAAGCAGATATCCAAGTTTACAGTATACGACCAAGTTGATCATCGATATAGTCATTACATAGACAGACATGCTTGATTACCTTGACTACATTTGAATTAGCTGATTGCCTGAAACCGCAAACATCTTTCCATGCAGCTTCAAACATAAAAATCCATGCAAAGTTTCATATAAATTCATTACAAAAAATGGGCGAAAGGTATTTGAGGTAGTTGCAGTTAATATAAAAGTGTGAATCCACTAAAATGTTAAAAGCAGGAATGTGGGCAAACTTTTCATATATAAAGGAAATTTGCAAAGCAGGATTTATCAACAGTTGTGGACTAGTGAATCAGCTTTACCACATAAGAGTACAGAAGTCCCAATACTTGGGATAAGAAAAGCAATTCACCCTCCTTATTCTGAAAAATTGATTCAACAATCTGAAAATATCCTCGACAAAAATGTTAAGTGCCTCCATGATACTTCCAATAAAGCCACTGTGTTCTATCAGATTAGAACAATCCTCTCAAAACCAAATGTGGAGCTCAACATCATCAATAACGCAAATTACCAAGTCAAATCCTCTATCGTTTCAAATTTAAAGCTCCTCATCACAACTTTTGCTCACTCAATTCCTCATTCCTCATTGCCATCATTTCCATGTCCTTCTTAACCTGTTCTCTTTGCAACCTCAACAGCTCTGCTCTCTCCAGCCATCCTTCCTCCAGCAGCTCAACAAACTTATCCTTTATCTCAAGCAACCGATCCTTATCAATCAAATGACCTTCCTTATGTGCCTCCCCTAGCACTGCAGTCCTTATCCCACCTTTTAATGACATAGAATATCCCTGAATGCCTTGTAAACTAACTAGAAAAAGCATTCAAAAACCTATACTCATCGGTAAACTTCCCCAATATTTGCACAGGAACCCTCTTCAACAATGAGAGGGAAAGCAACTCACGGAAAATCCCTAACCCACTCACTCATTTCCTTCCTAAGAAAAAACCCTGCTGGTAACTTGTAGTTAAATTTTGGCCTAACCCGAATCCCCATTAGCCTTGATTCCTCTTCTGCTCTTTGCTTAATAAAAGATTTAGCAAACTCAAGATTCCATTCAACCAACCCCAGAAACGATTGGCCTTCACCAGGGGAGCCGGTTAGCCTAAATAATTCGAGTACTTAGGCATTAAATTAACCAAAAAATCATTAGGGAAACCGAATTCCTTCTTCACATGAACCAATTTACAAAACTTAGAAACAAACAATTCTTCATATTCATTATAAATCCGTTTTTCCTCTTCTAGAAAATTTCCCATCCTATTACTAGACCGCAGAAAGGGAACGCGCTCGGATTTGGGTCTAACCCGATCATAATAAGTACCGAAAAGACCCGGGTTATTGTTAATAAAGGTTTTAACTCTGACATTAAGGCGTAATCTCTCCCGCCTTTTGTCTAAGTAACGGAGAGGGATGACTTGACCTGTTTCGTTAAGGACTTGCTAGACGAACCGGGCACAAAGCTTGTATCGTTTATCGTTTTCTAAGGCTTGGTCTAATTTCCTATCTTTTCTCCAAATAAATTTGAGGCTTGAAATGGGATTGATTTGGAGTGTGAATTTAGGGTTTAAGAAAGATTTGAAGTTAAGTTTTAGATTGGAAGTGGAAGAAGAAATGGTTTGGGATTTGAGGAGCATACCTGAAATAAGCATCAAAGGAAAACAAAACCCAAAGCAATTGATCAAATTAAAACATAGCAAGAATTCTTAAGATTTTCGAAACATAATTTGTGAATGAGCAAATTTAGGGTTTAGGGTTTTAGAGAGTGAAGGCAAAACACAAGAGCAAAGAGGTACAGACAAAAAAAAAATCTTCAAAAATAATGAGGAAGAAACCATAAAAAAAAATAATAATAATAATTGGTGGCCTTGAAAGAAATTTCATACTTTTTGGAAAGCCGTATGGAATTTAATTACCGTAAAAACTAGTTTGTAATTCTGCACAGATTAATTTTATTTATTAATTAAAATATTTTAAATTTGTAAAATTATTAATTAAATTTTATTATTACAAATAAATTGAAAATTTTATATTAAAATATTTATCAACAATTATATATTAGTTCACAATAAAATATTTATGTAATCGAATAGATAAAAAAATTACTTTTGATCTAAAATAAATTTTTTTGAAATATAGTTGATTCTCATTTTTAAATTTATGTGATACCAAAATTAATAATTAATGTAAGAGATCTCGAGTTATAAAAATATATAAAAATTTATTTAAATTACAAAATAGTAAAAAATAATCTAAAAATTTTTAAAGTAAAAAATATTTATTAATTAAACAAAACTTATTATCATTACCTTCACGAAAATTAATATTTTGTAATTTAATATTCATATGCACAATTCATATTATCATTTTTTTTATTTTAGAACAAATATGTTAACATAAAAATAAAAAAGATAAGTATTTAAAATTTTAAATATAGTAACAATAATAATTATTATTCTCTTTACTCTATTTTTGTTTCTCACTTTTCATTTAATAAAACATTATAATAAACGTAACCTTATGTGTTAAAAACCATTATCAAGAAATTTCGTATGACCAAAAAATAAGTAGTTGGATTAATTACTAACCAATTATTTGATACCTAAGTAGGATCATCGAATAGAATAAGATTTTTACAAAGTTAAACTCAATACATAATATAAAAAATCTAACAAATGAATTACATATATATTATCTATAAATGATATAAAATTAATTTATTTATTATTTATAAATGATATAAAACTAATTTATTTATTCAATAATTTTTTCTTCGCATAACAAAATGTATATATTTCAAAATTTTATTTTAGTTTGAAAACTATGATCTTGATAAAAAAAAAGTAATTAAAATAATTAAAAAATGTGAAGCAAATAAAAAAAAGTTTAAAATAAACAATAATGTTAGAAAACAAATTAACTCAAAAAATAATTAACATACCTTCAATTAATTGTAATATTGATCAAACCATTAAAAATATTAAAAATTTTCATTAAAAAATAATTTGAATAAAATTAATATACTTGTAGGATTTTTAGATGTGAAAATATATACTTCATATTTAAGCTGTAATAAATGCAAGTTCAATCCGTAAAATATTAAAATATTTTGAAAGTATAAAGGATATAATGAGTTATTTTAATTTGTTTGAATTTTAAAAAAATCTACTATTAAAAGATTATGATGAAATCTATGAATATATTAAAATTTTCAAATTAAAAAGAAAATTGTGTATATTATTGAAATATTTTATTTAAAAGAAATATATCTAAATTGTATTTAATTTGTATGTTTTACATATAATTAATCAAAATATTTAAAGTAATGTGCATAGAAAAAAGTCAAAAAGTTAGTAAAACTATAATGATTTAATAAAAAAATATTTGACATCTAAAATTTAGCATTTGAATTTTGGATTTGATATATATTAATGTTAAGAGTTCGTTGAGATTTTTTGTTATTTAAATTGAGTTAAAGTTTATATAAAATTGAAATATTGGATAAACTTAATTTTTATAACTTTAAATTTATTTGATAAATAATTAAAATTAAATAACTATCTTATGTATGGATTGTACACGTAATTGATCATGCATAAATGCTTACTTAGTCATATATTAAAATTATCTTATGTGTAATCAAATTATATTATACACATAAAATTATACGCAAGCAAATTTTATAAGATATTATTGTATGTTGTAATATAATACTATATATGATTAATTTTTCATTTAAATTTTGATAAACTTTATTCTATAAATATATTTAAATAATAATTTTATCTATAGATAGTATATAATCAGATAATAATATTTAAATTTTGTGTTTTATACATTTATTATCCAAAAATAAATATCTAATCAAATAATTACTTGATAACTCTAAACTTAAAAAATTTTATTAAAGCGATAAAAGTTTAAAAGTTATATAACATAGATTTTCTTTTTATTGTTATTTTGTTATATACTATGATTTAACATACATAAATAAATGAAACAAATTTATTGAGTTTGTTTTCTTATTTTTTTAAATCATAATAAAAAATATTAGCTTAAGTGAGTTCTAATTAAATTTATTATGAATTAAAAATAAAAAAAAAATATTACAGCTGATATACTTGATGGAGTAAATAGTATCTTTAGTGAAATATAACCTATCATCAGAAAAAGCATGCTAGTTCCTATTGTAATAATAGATTAATAAAAAGAGAGATTAAATTAATAGTAAAAAAATCTGTTTAGCTTGTATGCTTTGTGGGACACGAGAAAATCCATATAACTAAGAATTACCAACAATTAGGGTGTTATTAAAATTGTTTTGGTATTTATATATTTTTGATATATTTTTTAAAATATTAATATTAAAAGTCTATGAAAAATATTGATTTAAATTTAAATTTTATTTTAATTCGTATATATATATATATCTAAATCTATTTTTTAAAACTGATGGATTATTTATTAAAATTATCTTCATCTATAACTAATATATTTAAAATTTTGAGATAATACAATTATTATTTATCAAAAATATTAAAGATATTAAATAATATTTTTTAAAGTTTTGATAAATTTAAATAATTATATTAAGTGTAGATAAATTGAAAAAGATAAATTGTTTTAAAATTGATTTTAAATTGAGATGAGGTGATATATAAGATAAATGAATTTTATTATAATTTAAATTGATTTTTATTAAATTTTAAATTTTTAGATAATTTAATAATTTAAAAAATATATTTTTATAAATAATTTAAAATTAATAAATATTTTATGTGTCATCATAATGAGATGTTTTAAAAATTATCTTACATGTAAAAAAAAAAGCTATCAACATAAGTGTCTATATAAATAAATGCTGTATGATAATTATGTATGTTGTAATATAATATATATAATTTACTAAGATAAATTGAAATTATATTTTAGAAAATTAACACTTTATTATAAGTTAAAAATTTCAAAATAATACTACAATATTAGACAAAGATGATGAGTTCACATTATTTAAAGGAATACCCTATATAAAGTATACAAAATTTGGACTTATTAAGTCAAACTCAAGTAGCAATATCGAATGAATATTTTGAATACATGTACCAGTTACTTATAATAAATTAATAAATACCACCTACTATTGATTGAATTCATTGTATAGTATAATTTTTTAGTTCATTGCATGGTTTAATTTCATCAAATATTAGAATAAAATCATCTATAAAATTTGATGTGTTAGATTTGAATTTACACATTTAATATAACTAAAGGTTCTATTCTAATGATGTTTTGATTATTTAATTTTTTAATTTTTTTAAATAAATAAATAAATAAAATAACAAATGAAAACTTTACCTCATGCTTTGTTTTTTCATTACAAAGAGAAAATGATGGAAATAGCTCGATTCATATGGAATTTTGTTCTTCTTTAACTCTATTTGTCTATATTCAAACACTTTAAAATACCTTGTTATTATACTAAATATCTATTAAATTAATTGATATATTATTAAAGTTGATACTTAAAGTTTATAAAATTAAAAAAATTTACGTTCATGATATGTTTTTCAATTAAAAATGTAATAAGATAAAAAATTTAAAGATAAATTAAAAACTTAAAAAAAATTATTATCTTATTTAATTTTTCAATGAATTTGAAATTTGAAATTAGTTCAAATCATTAATTGACAAAATAAATTTTTTAGTTAATGATTAAGTTGCACAATAAAAAAATCTAATTTTTTTAATTTATAAATAAAGATCTTTTATAGTAAAGACAACTACAAAGATTGAAATATAAATAAAATATAAATAAAAAATAGAGAATTCATCCAAAAATAGTAAATATGAAATAAATTTCATTCATCCAATGGCAAAATCAAGGGGCCCACTTTTTTAATCGGGGTCAGTGAGGGAAAGAAAGTGACCCATCTTAACTATAGTCACGGACACCAACAGTTCTATGATAATGCGAAGAATAAAATATTTTTATTTTACTTTTTTACAATATGTTATTTTTGTATTTGTATTTGATTTGAGATAATTTTTTTTATTTATTTTCATGAAAAATTTTTATTTAATAAGTATGAATTATTTTGTATATATAATTATTTAAAACAAATAAGAAATAAATATTAAAATATTTTATATTTATAAAAATAAATAATGAATATATATATTATATTTATTTAATATATAAATAAGAGATTAATATTATATTATTTATATTTCTTGATGAATATTTTAGCATCCTACTCACCTTTATCATCAACTTCAATTTTTATATCCATATTTGTTTTTATTAACATAAAAAATCAAAATTTTCATCAAAATTGATATCATTAAATTATTATGTTTCCATAATTAAAGATGCATTAAAAAATTAATATTTGATGCACTTTATATTTATTTTTAAATATTTGATTATTTTTATTTTATTTATTAATAAAATATTTGATAGTGTATAATATATATTTAATATTAATTTATATTAAAAAATATTAATGTTTAATATAAATATTTTATATTGTCAACAATCCTATTATAACATTTGATTAATGAATAAAATAAAAAATAATTAGATTTTAAATTTGACCCTTAAAAATGCTTTATCTGTTTTTGCTTAATGGCTGTGATGGTGTGAGTATATATTGGAGAGAGTAATTAATAAACCAAAAAAAAAAATCATATGAAAGGGAAAAAGGGGAAAATCACAAGAGAGAGAAGAAGGGGTCGGCACTTTTTTTGTCGCAACCGCAGATGTTATAGCACGCATCTCAGGCAAATGGCAAAAGCGAGGCTGTGGAGTTGCTGCTTCTGCTGCTAGTGCTTTATAGTAAATAAATATTCTATATTTTATTAATATTTATAAATGCATTTGTTGTTGGTGGATTTGATTTGGTAAATAGTAAAAAAAAAGATTGTCCATCTCTGTGTAAGGACTACTTTTGATGCTGTTGTTGAAGAAGTGAAGACTGAGAAAAAAAATAAAGGAAAAAAGAGGGTGTGATTTGGTTCAGTTCTGAAGGGAAGTTGAAGAAATGGATTACAACAATGATCAGTTAATTTCTTTCGCTTTGCTGTCTTTTGGTTTTAAAATGCATATTTTTCTGATGATTGTTTCTGGGTTTTTCTTTTTAGTTTTTATGATAGTTTATTTGCAATTTTTGGGGATGAATGATGGTTTTTCTCAAGTGAGTATTTGCTTAATTTTAAGCTTTTATGGATTAAATGCTCCATTTGGGAAATGGGTTTGCTTGGGTTTTTTTCCTTTGATTTTTGAATTGGGGATATGATGGATTTGTACTGTGTACTGTAACTGTTGAGAGAGTAAAGGTGTGGGCTCTGAATAAAATGGTGGGTCACATTTTTTTAAGTTTTTTTCGTCCTCCCTTTTTTGTTCTTTTTATTAGCTTAAACATCGATGCTGTTCTTGATAGGGATTATGATCCCCTTTCCTCGTTGCTAGATCTAAATGGTACATATATCCTTTTCATTATTCTACATGTGATGTTTGTTTGTGTTACTATTATTGGATCCAATGCTTCAATTTTACTTTTTTCCTTTTTCTTTTTATTGTTTTACTTGTGAGGTGGAAATGTTACTGTTGCTGTTTTTCATCTGGATAATATTCCATTCCCTTTTTACCCCTTATGTCTATGTAACTTTATGGATTATGTTGGTGATTTAGTTCCTACCTTATTTGTTGGAATCCCATGTAAGATTTTGCTTAATGCTGGTAAGATGTAACATGGATTCCACTTTTAGGTAAAGCATTGGATGATTCGTTGTGAAGTCCATCTCAATTGGCTCTTTGTTTTGGCCTGAATATTATTTAGCTATATTTTTTATGTTTATTCTTTGATTGGTGGCAGGGAGCCTTGGAATTGGCACGGGGAGAATTATGGCGTTCAAAGGAACTCCAATTTTGGTAAGTTATGACCTCAGATGCTGATTATTTCAAGTCAATATATTTAAAGTAACCAAGTGATGTCTGAATAACGTCTGAGCAGATGCCTCCCAAGGTGTATGGACTCAAGCGGCCTTGAATGAGGAAGACCTTTCCTACATGTTTGATGAAACAACCCCTGTTAAGGAATGTGGGGATCTGTCATACCATGTTACTTATAATGGTAAGCTTTGTTCCTTGATATTCTTTGAAACTTTCTTGTCTTTATGATAGCTGTTCTTCTCTTTCCTTTAAAAGTAATAGGATTGTGAACTTCAGATAATACAATCAAGGAACCAGAGGACAAGAGGGAGACCTCTTCTCAAGTTAAAAGGCGTAGAATGCTTCAATTTGACACTCATGCAGTAGATTCTTTCCTCATCTGTGAAGAGATGCCATCTACATTCCTAAAATCAAGAGTGAGTGTTAGATAACATTTTTATTCCCGAGAACATGAAGCATGCCATATTTTCCATCCTGCTATCTTTCAACTTTGTTTGAAAATTTTTGACATGGATTCATATGCTACATGTAGAACCTGATGTTATAAAACATATCAGTTAATCGCAAGTTGTTTTATATTACTGAGAAAGAAAACTCTATCGTCCACATCATTTTGTGCATCCTCTTTTAAAGTATATCTACTGGCCACAGGTTGCTGATATTTTCAAAATTTGAGTTTATATTTGATGCACTGACAGTGTATAAACTCTATACACGGTCACTAAACCATAGATTGCCACATCATTAATGAGCAAATTTCAAAAAATTAGAAGTCCTAAAACGTAAAATATTAAAAGTTGATTTTAATTTATTTTTAAGTACTTCTCAACTTTCAAATTTACTCATTAATTATGTGGCAATCTGTGATTCACTGAAAACCCCTAAAAATTTTATCTTTTCTATTATTCATTCATTATTTATAACAAGTTCTAGAGTTCTGCCTATCTGGTGGCTTTTCAAAAATATACATGTTGGATCTATGTTGAGTTACTTTCTCATGAGATGCAATCAAAACTTTTGAATATTGGTTAAAATGTAACATGATTATTACCATGTTTTTGTTTATTTGTTTCTTCTTTCCATGCTTAGGAGAGGGATGACTCGATTGAAGAGGTTTTACCTGATGCATCTCAGTGGGTTGCTGGATTTTCAGGTTTCTCTTGCAAGTCCATTTTCGTGCAAATAATAATCAACTTGAATCAAATGCGTACTTGGGTTTTTAATCATAACAAAATATTGCAGAAGATGCATCAGCTTCCAGTTATGAGGGCATAGATCAGTCGTGTGAAAGGTGGCTTGCTGACTATTTAAATGATGCGGAGATGCTTCTTAGCTCTGATGATATGTATGCTTCTGTGGACTTTCAACATTTTTGTTTGATCATAGTATTAATATATTCTGACATCTTTATAATGTGAGATTCAGGAATCTTACTGGGGCATCTGATGTTCATATTGATATTTCAGGTACATGACTCCTTTTCTTTTGAAGAAATTTTCTGTGCATTGTTGTTAACTTCGTTTTTTGTTTTCAAAATGTCTTGTGTGTCATCTCTCTCTCTCTCTCTCTAAGTTGCACATTATCTTTACTTCATTTTGAAACTTGATTCTCTGTTAATAGAGACAGCATTGTGCAATGCCCAACCTGAGTCTGGTGCTCATGCTGTTCAAAAGCAGGCAACTCGAACTCCTCAAAATGTTGTTTTCAAAGGTAACCTATCTATTATTGTTTCTCTCATTCTTGTTTATATCTGTTAAATTTGCTTTCCCTTCTGTTTTTTATGTTTTAGTCTGTTTTATCTCCAGTATCAACCCATAAGAACATCCTCTTCCTCTGCTGTTGTTATAAAGGAAAAGTATGAGCCTAAATTAATCGTGTGTGCGTCTATTTCAAATACCATGTCCTTTAAGTAGGGTTTCAATGACCTACAATCATTTTAAATTAAAATTTAATTACTCTAAGTAAGATTAACTGTCAGATTGGATTTTGCTCATTTAGGTAGGAAGTCTTTCATACAAGCGCCCCCTGAGCTAGCATCTTCTGTTGCCTACCCATTTGCTTTCATTAAACCTTGTGGTTTCCATGGGGATGTTACCCTGAAGGATATAAACCAGCGAATTCAAACTCCACCATCATCAAAATCAAAACAAAGTAATGAAGATCTTGCTGCTGCTTTCCCAACCTCTGCTTTTTCTGGGAAGCCTGTTGTTGGCAAAACTAAAATTCGTACTGAAGGAGGAAAAGGAAGCATCACAATTATGAGAACCAAAGGCTGAGTAGATAAGTTTGCTTCTGAACTTTCTTTTTTTAGTGGCCCTTTGATCTCCCTCTCAATTAAATCTGGTGGTAGAGTATCTCCATATTATTCCTGGGTCAAACTAGTATAGAAGCTGATACTACATTTTTTTTTTTGTTGGACGTCTCGGAAATCATAATACTCATCAAAGTATTTTTGTTTCCTCGTAGTATTCTAGGTGTCTAATTGTTGTTTTATACGTTGCTTTATTTTTAGGCTATAAATGGAAGTCATGATGTTTGAGATCCACCTATTCTTCTTTTGGTTTCGAGAAAAGACCTAATTAATGCTTTTGCTGAGCAGAACTTGTGTATTCACATGGTATATCTAGATGATATATTTTACATGTAGTGGAAGCATAAGCTCGTACTGTTGTACCAACTCTTTCTCTCTCTCTCTCTCTCTCTCTCCAAGTCAATGACAACATTAGTGTATTGCTGTGTAAATGGTCATTACTCATTGGCATCAAATTTTATGTTGTCTCGCATCTTTTGGTAATGCATGTCTCTGCTTAAACCTATATTTGGTATGTTTTATAATATAGGTGCCTTTGCCTGATATTATGTTCTGATCAATGGGGTGATTGAATTTGAGTTCTGAAACAGTAGATGGCTAGTTGTCTGGTGTTGATACTCATGTCTCAGAAGGATTTGGAGTTCCAAATTCCAACATACGTGTGATTTCTTTTTTTCTTTTACCTTGGAGGCCGAACTCATTGTCATGTTGAGGAAGTACCTTAGATAGGAATCATATTGTTTTGCTGTAGTCCTTTCTGGTTATACATAAACAGCACTAGTTTTTTAGGTGTCTTCACACCTGGTTAAGCTTTAATACCAAGCTTGGAGATAATGGTAACTTTTTGCAAATTTTCTGCCTGAACGATTGGGTAGGATTTTTCATTCATGCATTATTCACTTAATTTCTTATCACGAGGAAAACTTCAATGAAACAATGTCAGTGTCTTGATCCTTTTTCTTTATTCAGATTTGCCCTTTATAGGTTAAAGTGAATTTTGCACCGTGTTCAGCTATCTATAAACTGCTTCTGTCGACTTCTCGACAATTTCGGCCAAGCATGTTGTTTTCCTTTCCCCTTTATTTCACTCAAATCTAAGGTTGATTCCATTCTTTTTCATCGAACCTTGTGTATTTTGATGAAGCTATTTCATTCAATTTGACACCAAATTTCTGCATGGGCTTATGGCTAGAGATCTAGATAACAAGGGACTTAACTCAGAAGTTTTTGTTGCATAAGAGGCCGTAGCTTGGGAATAAGGGATTGGTCGCAGGTATTGGGATTTGAACTTAATACATGTTGGATGTCATCTCTTAAAGTTAATTGCATAGACTAATTAAATTAAGTTTTGAGTTTACTTAACACTAAATTTAAGTGTGATAAAAACTAAAAATATGGAGTGAAAGACTTTTGATTTAATAATGCCCTGGGCTTTTTCCAAATGGATATGAATGTCGGGCATTCAGTTGTATACCAAGGAATTTCCCATTTTGGGTTGGGAACGTAATTGAAATGAGCTTTGATCTAAAAATGTCAAGTTGGGTTCTTTTTCATTACAGTGGCTGTCTCATAGGAAATTGAGTCGAAAGATTTAGCATGCTCGTTATCTGAAAGGCTTTAAACCGAATCGGAAAAAACAAAGGACTCTGGAAGACAGTGCTACACACTTTTCATGGCTGTTGTGTCCAAAAGTTAAGGCCGCAAGTAGCGTGATGAAGCAACCTCTGGCCTCTGGCATTTGGGCTTCAACATATTTTAAATGCTTTGGAATCAAGGTCCCATGTCCTCGTAACTCTGGCAAGTGTATTTTGATGTGGAAATCGGAATGATTGAAGTTTGTGAAAGCTGTTTTAAGTATCGTGAACTGTTTTCTAAGCTTTGATTTCTTGCTTATTTTCTTGAAATCTTGATGAATGCATCTAAGCAAATCTATCCATGGTTCATCTTTAAACATGGAAAAAGAGAACTTGTTAGTGAGAAATCAAATAAGCCTAGATTATTATTTTACTTATTTTAGCAATAATAATCATTCATTGCAATCCCAGAAGGGACAAATCTAAAGACCAGCCAAAAATTGGAAGAAGTAGAAGAAAGTGGGAAGAGAAGTAATGTTTAAACAATTTCTTCACAATCTTAGATGGGAGATGATTTAAACCTTATGACATTGAAAAAGAATTACCAAAATTGAAAAGAAGTAAGAACTGGATAAAAGAAATCAAAAGATATCAAGGATTTCCAGGATGAAGCCGTTGCAAAGCGGACAGTTCCCTCTCTGAACCAAAAGCTCCCTTGAACAAAGCCGACAAAACGTATGCCCACAGGGAATTAACGCCGCACCTTTATGCCTAACCATGCACACACAACAAGTGTGCTCGATTCCGCCACTCGCTTCCACTACATCTTCTTCCTCTTCCTCCTCCTCCTCTTCTTCCTCGCCGTACTCGTCATCGTCGTCGCCCATCCCGTATGTCGATCCCGTTTCCCCCAACAAATCCATCAACGACATCTTTACTGGCTCCTCAGCCGCACCCGCTTCTGCTGCTGCTTGTTCCGCTGAGGCTGCAGCAGCTGCTGCCGCTTCCGCTGCTTCCTGTGCAGCCACTGCTTCTCTGGCAGACAATGTCCTCTCCCGCAATGCCGCTCCCAGTTGGCGCGATCCATCAAGTGCCACAGGAGAGTTGTCGTCGTCGATGCTGTCAACGTCGTTTCCGTCAGTGTCCGAGGCAGGAAAACGAGTGGAATGATGGCGGGTAATTTGTGGCCTGAAGCTTCTCGAGGGTGGACATTGGCTCGGCATGCTGACATCCACCCAATCATCGTGATCCGTCTGAGTCGGATTGTTCACGAACCGAACGGAACCCTTCCGCGACAATTGCAACCGAGAGTTCACAACCGGTGGATCAGATACCGAGGCATGTTCATCTCCATCCTCAATGTGGGTCGAGTCAGCAGAGTTAGAACGAAACGAACCGCGCCGCGAGAACTGGGATTTGCTACTATGAACATTCACATCGGAAGCTGGGATAGGAACCGAGGAGGTCCAAGCGGACCCCGCTCGCTTGAGCCGGAGCTTTTCCCGAAACGTTTTCCAACTCTTCTTGTCCTTGTTAGACCCATCGTCTCGTGTAATATCCAGAAGCGTACGGTTGTGGGTCGTTGGTGGTTCAGACCGTTTGGTGTTTCGCAAAACGTCGTCGAGAGATAGACCAGCCAGATTGTTCCGGCCATTGTCTACCGCTGACATCTGCTTAAAAGCGTGAGCCTCCGGTTACCACTTTCTATTGCATTACAGTTAAATATATATATATATATATATTGTACTTGTTTAAGATTAGTAATGAGTAAAAGTTATTGGATAAATGGATACCTTAAGATTGAACTCTGGTGAAATTTTTCACAGCTTTCAATTATTCACCTGTAAAAGAAAACAAAAGCAAAATACAACTTCCAGTAAATAAATTTATTTATTTTCTTAATCTAATATGAGATAACAATCATATTTTCTTCGGTTTCCTTTTTTTTTATCCCAAAATAAAATATTACTATTAAAAATAAAAGAAGGATTATATTATTAAAAAAATAAAATGGGGCACCCACCCAAAAGGACTTCCTTTGTCTAAACAAATATCCTTCTCTCTCTCTCTCTCTCTCTCTTTTTGTAATAATCTGTCTTTCTTAGATTTCTGGTTTTGGTTTTGTTTTAATTTGTTTTCAATGGAGAGTTTGGACTTTGGAGGGGGAGGAATAGAGAATGAAAGATAAAAGGAGAGAGTCTGTGACAATTGAGCGAGTCTCATGGGAAACACGAGGGGCCTTTTCCTTAATTCCCTACCTTCGCGGAAAGTAAATGAAGCTGGAATTTTACTAATAACTCCCCCTTCCCATTTCATTTTCAGTTTTTTTTTTTTTTTTCTGGAATATGTATATTATTTATGTTCCTATTTATTTTATTTTTTATTATTAAAAACATTTAATATATAATCTGTTATTTTTTTATTTTATCAGTGTAACTGTATAATTAAAAGATTGATGCATATATTTAAATTATACTTGATAATTCATATTTTTATGTTGCATTTGATATTTATAATAATATAAATTATTAAAATATAAACACGATATGAATTAATCTTTCTATTCCATTTTCATTGTTCATCTTTTTTTTAGGATATCTTAAAATTATGTCTTTTTTTTAATATATAAAACTCTTATCTTTAATATTTTAAAAATATTTTTTATGAGTTTTTATTTTTTAATATTAAAAATTATGAAACTTTAATTTTAAAAAGAAAATTTAATCTTAATATTAAATACATTAAAGTCAAAGGTTTTTTCTTAAACTCTATGAAAGTCAATACAAAACAAATAAATTGGGATTGAAGGAGTATAAAATGTATTTAAATTTTATACACGAATGCATCATATTTATTATATGTGTTACATGTGACACGATACAATTAATACATATATAATTAATTTATTTAATCACAATAAAAATAAATATAAATAACATAAATATATACAAATATATATGATTAATATAAATATACACTAATAAACATGAGTAACACGAATATATATAAAAATATGATTAAAATAATATATAATTATAAATTATCCATAATTTATAACTTAATAAACTTGACATATCACTTGCATATTAAAAATAATAAAAAATTTGATACCCATTTAATATATTTAATATATTTTAAAATTTTAATATATTGTACAATTATATTAGTTTTCACTATCAAAATTAAAATGATGAACTATTAAATATTAAATAGTAAAATAATAATATATAAGACTAATATTAATATTTCTATTGTATTTATATTATTAATGTAAAAATAATTTTATAATAGTTATTAAATGAGTATCATAATTAAATGTTTAAAATAATTTTTATATTGTATTGAAAAGCTAATTAAGTATCATAATTAAAACAATTAAAAAAGTAAAATAATATTTATATATTTATATTAAATTAAAATATATATTAAAAATATATTAAACGTGTACTCATATAATAAAATTAAATTGAATTTTTTTGTTATCGTGTCATATGTTAAACATAAATACGTATGACATGTTTTATCTAAATGTATTTTTTATGTCTTATATGTGTTTAAACGTGTTTTTTGTATCAAGAGAATAAACATGAAACACATTTTTTAAAACATATATATAATTTTTTTGTATTTTATCACCATGTTATATTTAAAATTATCATATATGCTTTAAATTAATCTAAAACAGTAATAAATCAATATAATAAAAAATATATATCAAAATTTTAAACTTTATTTATGGTATTTGTAAATTAAATAATAATATTTTTTAATAATATTTTTTGAGATTAAAGTGTAACTGAATCAAATTTATGGAATAAATGTTCCATTAAAAAATTGGAAACTTGAACTCAATCCCTTTAAAACTAAACAAAACTTACAAAGCCTATGCTCAAAATTTTATATATTAATGATGGAAAGATATTACTATTTATGTATGATGTAAAAATATATTTTATATTACAATATTAATGCCTAAGCTTAGATTTTGAAAATCAATCTCGCGCCAAACTACATCTCAATTCTATTCATAGTACTAATGTCTATTCTTTTTATTCCTATTTGAACTTGATTTTATTTTTAAAATTTTAAATTTAAATGAATTAAAAATTTAAATTTGGATAATTTTCATTTTTTTTGAAGCTTTCGAGTTTAGTACATTTATTATTTATAAGATAAAAATAAATAAAGTCTCCTTAAAATCGGACGGTGAGGAATACATTACCACTCGTAAACGTTGGAATCAAATTTTCCATAAATCTACGGGCTGAAATTGGCATCCAGCTAATTAATTAATAAATTATGGTTAGTACACGTAAGAACAGAATATGTGCGGCTTCTCGAGTCTTCCATAGATCCATTGGCTAACAACAACTCTTTCTTTTAGTCCTTTCGCTGCTTTCCTAAAGTCCGCGCCTTCCTTCTTCTCTTCTTCACAAAAATTTCCAGTTCCCTTTCTCTTTTGTCTCAATCAAAGGGTATTTTTCTCTCTCATTCTCTCAATTGTTTCATTTTTTGACTTTTATTGTTTAATTGAGCTATCTGTTGTGTGAATTTTTCAGGGTTGAATCTTCGCTGGTCGTTACTTCGTTTCCGAGAATCAACGATGACTCATATCCTTTTAATTTGTTTGATTAATGAATAATTCGTAATTTTTGGGGAATTAATTGTAAAAAAAAAATTGGGTATTCCTGCTATTGTTAATTCTTTAACTTAAGCTAACGTGGTAACCAGAGAGATCGAGATCGAGAAAGGGCTCAAGCCAGAGTAGCCAACAAAGGCAAGAATGTCAAGGATGATGGGTTAACCCCTGAACAACGCCGTGAAAGGTTACCTCTTTTTTTTTTTTTTTCCTTTTAATTTTCTTTATTTTGTAAAATTCAGTCTAATTTTGCGTCTTCTTTTTCCTTACTGATTTTGGGAATTGTGCCAATTTTTCTGTATGGGCAGAGACGCAAAGGCCTTGCAAGAAAAAGCGGCAAAGAAGGCGGCGCAGGCGGCTGCTGGAGGGAACAATTCGGGCGGCGGTGCTGGAAGTAAAAACAAGAAATAATAATGTAACGATTTTGAGATGATTAAGGGTGGAGCGTAAAGATAGTGTTTGTATTATGTCTGATTGGGGAATCAGATCGTTGGGTTTCTATGAGGATTTCTGTGTCTTTGTCTGCGTCGTTTTAAGGTTAAAAACTTTTGGGCTGTTTGTTTAAGTGGCATTAATTGTTGAGTGTTGATTTTTACATGTTCTATCACGTATTTAGCAGTATGCAATTTGATGCCTTTCTATGTTTTAAACGGTAATTGTCGATTACCCTTCAATAAAAATCCCCTTCATTTTTTATCATCTTGTCCGTTTGATTGTTTTCCTTTTTATTGCATAGTGCTGATGTGATTTTCTTCATCTTAATCTAAGGTCCCCTAACCCTTATGTTTACCGGATGATACTATATGCATAAGTTACCTCGAATACCGCAGCATCCTTTACTTTGAACCCCCAACTTTTTACGTCGAATCCCGCAATATCCATTACTTTGAATCCGTAACTTCCATGCACAAGCTTGAATGGTTGGAGCATTTGAGATTGGGTTCAATGGAGGAAAATTAGACAGCTTCTTACGCTTTAGAGGTATCAGACAAAGAGATCCCCTTATCTCCTTGCATATTTATCCTATGCATGGAGTACCTGAATAACATGATCCAGGACCTCCCCTAGGGCCTAATGTTCGCTGATGATGTTATACTCTTCTCTAGAGCTGACAAACTAGGACAAATCCAGAATCCTGTTCTCAAGAAACACAGACAGGATCAATAGAGAGTGGATCACCAGCGGACTGAATATAAAGAGAACTAAAAATGGAAGCTATTCCCTCATACACATTCTAAATTTGCAGGTTGGAATGCTAATCTTTTGTCCCCAACAGGCAGAATGGTTTTTATCCAATCCACAATGGAAGCTATTCCCTCATACTACATGCAATGTAAGGCCCTTCCTAGTGCTATCTGCCATGAGCTCGACAAGATCAAACAGAAAATTCCTATGGGGATGGACAGGAAATACCAGAAAACTCTACCTTTTAAGCTGGGAGGAAGTGACCAAAGAAAAAGAAGAAGGTGGATTGAGACTAAAATCTAACAGAAACCAAGCTATATTAGCCAAACGAGCCTGGAGAATGATCCACAACCAAAATGACCTATGGGTTAGAACTCTAACGGGAAAATATCTTCATCACAGCAACAATATGGTAGTGAGACACGATGTGTCGGTCATATGGAAAGCCCTCAGCAGCTGCCAATATATTCTTGAAAGAGGGATTAGATGGTCAATACAGGATGGAGCAAGAATTAGTTTTTGGGAGGATAACTGGACAGGGCTTGGAAAAAATCAGAGCCCTTGTTGCTGGACCGCTCAATAAGGATGAGGAGCACGTTACGGTTAAACAATTTAAGCAAGGCTTGGACTCTGAGCAACAACCGGTCTCTTTTGTTTTTCCTAAGGATATTATGCAAACAATCCACAGTATCCCTTTTGCCATGTAAGAAGGAGGAGTAGATGCTAAGTAGATGCTATCTGCTGGAACTACTCCAATGATGGGGAATTCAATGAAAGTGCGTACAAACTTGCCCTCAATAGGGACATACAAACTGATAAGGTGGATAAGGATAGGTGGAGCTGGATCTGGCAACAAATGATATCCCCAAAACTGAAATTTTTTGCGTGGCAATGCACCAGCAAAATCCTCCCTACGCGAGTCTTCCTTCGGTCAAGAGGTATAAATGTTCAAGAAAATTGCGCTTTTTGTAATGACCAAGAGGAGACGATCAATTACCTTCTGGCTGGGTGTCCCACGGCTAAGGTGTGGTGGGCCTCCCTTAACCATCCAATCCAATCTAGCCTGAGCAGTGGGGATGCTTGGGAGAAATGGATTAAAGCAAATGCTACTAGTAAAACTTGAATGCCGAACAAGTTAGTGCCTTGGAACACTGCTTTTATCTTCGTGTGCTAAGAGATTTGGAGGACAAGGAACTGGCTGATCTTTGAAGGCATACGAGTAGGCAACAACGTGGTTGAAAAAGCTTTGGATCATGCTACCGAATTTATGGCTCTGGCCAGACAAGTTAGAAAAGTTCCCATTATGTGCACCATCAGCATACAGTGGAAACCTCCAGCACAGGGATGGTTCAAGCTAAACACTGATGATAACTCCATAGGAAACCCAGACAAAGCAGGAGCAGAGCTATTCTTAGGAATCACGACGGAAAATGGATTAAGGGAGTTTCCAGACACATTCCTAAAGCAACGAGTGTTGAAGCGGAACTATAAGCTTTACAGGATGGCCTAATATGGCAAAGAACGAGGGAATTAGGAACTTAGATATTGAGATGGACGCTACCATTGTGATAAGCTTGATTTCCAATACTAAAACTATCAACTATCGCCTTAACACCCTCATCTCTTATTACAGGACTCTGTTGAAGACATTTCAATAGACAACGATGAAGCATATTTACCGTGACGGAATCGGTGTTTTGATGCATTGGCGTGAAATGACAAAGAAAGTCAACTTTAGCTCCGGAGCTTTGTATGGTGACTCTTGTTATTTTGTTCAAGGATGCTCCCGCCTTTATTGCCCCAATTCTTCTTGATGAGAATTGTGGGGTTCTTACGTACCCTACTATGATTTAATTAATGCATGAACTCCTCTTTCGGATAAAAAAAAATCCAATTCTTTTTTATGAGAATTGTGGGGTTGTTATGTACCGTACTATGGATTAATTAATGCATGAATTCCTCTTTTGGATAAAAAAATATTGTTTGTGTATTGCTTTAACAGGGTTGTCAGATCATCCGATCTGCATGTTCAATTGTTCACTTCTATTAGGCACATTTCCTTAATAAAATCGTAAGTTTCTAACTATTTGTCGTATCGAATAAATTCGAGAATTTCATCTAAATGTAATTTAAAGAATTATTATTATTATTATTACGTTAGATATGATTAATTATTTAATTCAATCTATTTCATTTTTAAAAAAAATTTTAAGTTTAATTAGATATCTTTAAAAAGTAAATTCATGTATACAAAATCATAACTAGATTTAAAAATACAATTATATGTGAAAAAAAATTATAGCACTCTTACATTATACATTCGAAAGATGATACCAACTTAATTTTATGTTATCAAAAGCTTAAAAAACTTATCAAGTAATTTAATATCGAAAACTATCCATAAATAACTTCTATATGTTAGTAATAATTCAAGAACATCCTCTCATCTTAGAAGTCTTTAAGGAGATTATTTGTTATGCTATGAAGAGATTTTGTTATCGGATTTATTTAATTTTTGTAAAAAAATTTTATTTGTGATAATTGAAATTCTTATGAGAATTTTGATATTAAAAATCTTTTTTAAATTTTCTAATATGTTAATAAAATTTTAAAAAAAATTTTGACCTAAAAATTTACATAGAGATTGTTATTTACAATGCTTTTAGTGATTCTATCTAACTTTGTAAAAAAACTTTTTATTTCCAAAAATATCATCTAATTTATTGGTAAGATTTTCAATTAAAAATTATCCTCCAATCACGCTATGAAGAGGTTTTATTGTCGGATTCATTTAATTTTTGTAAAAAAAATTAATTTGTGATAATTAAAATTTTTGTGAGAATATTGATATTGAAAATTTTTCCTAAATTCTCTAATATGTTGATAAATTTAGAAAAAAAATTTTACATAAAAATTTATATAGAGATTACTATTTACAATGTTTTTAGTGATTCCATCATTGGAGATTCGAAATCTAACTTTATAAAAAAACTATTTATTTTCAGAAATATCTTCAATATATTGGTAGATTTTTCAGCTAAAAATTATCTTTCAATATATTTATAGGATTTTATGAAAATTATTATTTTTAATTAATTTTTATTTAAAAATCATAAGGCTTTCCAATATATTGGTATAACTTTATATTAAAAATCAAATTACTTTTCAATATGTTGGTAAGGTTATATTAAAAATTATTTTTTTCTTAAAATTTATTTTTTATAAAAAATTAATAAGGTTTTCTAATATGTTGGTAAAATCTTATATTAAAAATCAAATTGATTTTCAATATGTTGGTAAGGTTTCATTGAAAACTATTTTTCACTTAAAATTTATTTTTTTATAAAAAATTAATAAGATTCTCTAATATGTTAGTAAAATCTTGTTTTAAAAATCAAATTACTTTCCAATATATTGGTAAGGTTTTTTATTTTATTAAAATAATTTATTAAAAATTTGAATATTCTAATATATTGGTAAGATTTTTTTATTTAAACGTTTAATTTTTATAAGATTTGAACGATCCAATATGTTGGTAAGATTCATTTTTATTTGAAAAAATATTTTTTCTCTTTTAAAAAAAATTACAAATAAATGAATAATAAATAAAATAATAAAAACATAAACGAAAAACATATAAATAAATAACTAAACATAAATTAAAAAATTAAAAAAAAAATAAAAATACCAAAAGAATGGCTCGGCTTGGTGGCTTAAAAAATGCATCTCAAGAAATAACAGGTGGCCTAAGAGGTGCAGCTCTAAGCTCAGCTCGACTCCATGTCATGGTTCGATAATAAGGACCGATTACCGGGTCAGGTGGAATGAATTAGTTCAGGCACAATGAAAACGCTCGGATCCCAAGCTTTTATAATGCCAAAAAATGGCACAATTTCATGCCTGTATAAAAGGCAAAAAACTTTTTTTCCTTTAGATCTTCCCTTGCTTTCTCTCTCTCTTTTTTTCTTTTTCTTTATTCCTCTCTCTAGAATCTTCAAATAACATCGATTGAATTCTTCAAAAACTAGAAAACTCTCGTTGAAAATTTGTCGAAATATGAAATTTCCAAAAAAAATCCAAAAAATTCACTCTAACACCAGATTTCTCTCTTGATCTTCTAAAATCCTTCAAGCAACACCAATTTTCCCAATTCCAAAAAAAATCCTAATATTTTTTTTGCCACAAACTTATCTTGAAAATTTTTTATGCTTTCTGTCTGCTTTTTGTTGTGTATATTTCTTTGTTAATTAGTGTCCCATTGTTGATTCTGAGTTTATATTTATAGGGATCTTGTTTATAAGTTATGAGAACTTTATACCAAAAAGAGTTTCAATTTCTTTTTAGTTCAAGCTTTAAACTTTGATTTTAACCCAAACTTTATAATCCCAAAAGAAATGGCCTTAGACAAACTCAATGACCCCAAACTTTTTTAATTTTTTTAATTTTTTCTTATTAAACAAAAAACAAGTCAAATAATAGAATTAATCTCAAACAAAATGGGGTTTCTACACTAT